TAAAAAGTAAAAACAAAAACAAACGAAGATGATCAGCCGGTAGTACATAAGCTGTGGCGAATATACCATCATATAAACAAATCTATCAGCTAAAACGCATAAATCATTTCTGATATTCAAATTTTGAGAAAGGTTGAAAAGTGCAAAAGATTTATTTTAAAAAATATAAAAAATGTTTAAATCCCAAATTTCGAAAATAACCGGTAATAGTGATTTATCACAACCTGTGATTTAGTCATAACAATGACTTAAATCATGAAATAGAAAGAACTGTGTCAGTTGTCCCATTAAACATATCAGCAATCAAGTTTTTAACAGTTAAAGAAATTCAGCACGAAATTAACAACCTAAACCCTCGTAAGGCACCAGGAGTGGATAAGATAACGTCAAAAATGTTAAAAGAACTACCAAGGAAGGGCTTAGTACTTATCACATATATATTTAATACCATCATAAGATTGAAGTACTGACCGAGATCGCTGAAAACAGCCGAAATTATAATGATCCCAAAACTCGGTAAAGATTTAAACAGAGTCTCCTTATATCGCCCTATTAGCTTACTACCATTGGTTTCCAAAATTCTTGAAAGACTGATACTTCGTAGAATCAATTCAGATCCAAAAACCGAAAACTGGATACCACATCACCAGTTTGGGTTTATATTTATATACCATAATAGGAAATAAAGAAACCTGTTATTTTTAAGCTGCTTTTTATAAATAACTATAACAGTTTCAACTGTTATCTAAAAATAACAGTTTTGCCCACCACTATCTTGTGAGTTTAATTTAAGTTTTATTTACTCAAACCCCTGATAATTGTGAAAAATTGGCATTAAAAACTAAAAAAGCTGTGCTGTGAACTGCAAAAACCATCGTGGATCGTTTCATAGGCATTTCATAGGTATGTTTCATAGATGTTTCATAGGTATTTCCATAAGGGTCCTTATATAAAATAAAGTTTCTTGTATGTAACACACTGTGTTTTATTTATAGTAATTTAAAAATAACAATGACTTAAATCATGAAATAGAAAGAAGTGTGTCAGTTGTCCCATTAAACATATCAGCAATCAAGTTTTTAACAGTTAAAGAAATTCAGCACGAAATTAACAACATAAACCCTCGTAAGGCACCAGGAGTGGATAAGATAACGTCAAAAATGTTAAAAGAACTACCAAGGAAGGGCTTAGTACTTATCACATATATATTTAATACCATCATAAGATTGAAGTACTGGCCGAGATCGCTGAAAACAGCCGAAATTATAATGATCCCAAAACTCGGTAAAGATTTAAACAGAGTCTCCTTATATCGCCCTATTAGCTTACTACCATTGGTTTCCAAAATTCCTGAAAGACTGATACTTCGTAGAATCAATTCAGATCCAAAAACCAAAAACTGGACACCACATCACCAGTTTGGGTTTCGAGAACGACATTCCACTATTCAGCAGATACATCGGATTACCAGCAATATAACTCAAACTCTTGAGGACAAAAAGTATTGCACATCAGTTTCTTGATGTTAGTCAGGCTTTCGACAAAGTATGGCATACAGGACTACTTTACAAAATTAAAAATTATCTTCCCATGTCCTACTTTCCGATATTGAAATCCTACCTAAATGGTAGAGTGTGTAGAGTCAGAATAGGTGAGGATTAAGATTAATATAAATGCAGGTGTCCCACAAGGTAGTGTCTTAGGACCACTACTCTATGTCCTTTTTACAGCAGACTTTCCCACAAACAATGAAACAACGGCTACTTCTGCAGATGACACAGTAATTATGGCTGTCAACAAAAAGCCGGAAACAGGTTCCTTGATATTACAAAGACATCTAAATGTAATAGAGGCATGGTTACGTGATTGGAAAATAAAAATTAATCCATTAAAATCGGCCCAAGTAACTTTTACTTTAAATAGAGACCAGTGCCCTCCAGTATATTTAAACACCACACTAATTCCGCAGTCTTCCTCTACCAAGTATTTAGGCATGCACTTGGATACTAAGCTTACCTGGAAAGAACACATAGTAAAGAAACGTAAGCAAATAGATTTAAAAATAAAAGACTTATATTGGTTAATGGGAAGAAGATCCAAACTGTCGCTAGAGAATAAATTTCTTTTATACAAAACCATAATAATACCTATTTGGACATATGGAGCAGAGCTCTGGGGATGCGCTAGTAAATCAAATATAGCCATAATACCAAGGAGCCGATCTAAAATTCTACGGATGATAACAGACGCACCATGGTATGTCTCCACTCATACTATACATGAAGATTTAAAAATTCCGTAGGTCAAAGAAGTCATCCAAACTCGGAGTAAAAAAACATTTCATTAGACTGCACGATCACACCAATACCTTACTTCCGCCTCTACTTGAACCAGTACCTACAAGAAGACTTAAAAGACAATGGCCATCTGATTAGAAAGAATATTAAGGAGGATTTTTCACTGGAGAAGACCTCATCACGTTAACTGGAGCGTCATTGCTCTCAAGTCATCAAATTAGCCCATAGAATTTCCTTGCAAATATTCTGATTGCTAATAAATCATAATAAAAAAAAAATTGAGAAAGCTTGAAAAGTACAAAAAATTTATTTTAAAAAATGTTATCAAATGTCGTACAAAACGGTGACCTAATCATGACTTTTGATAACAACTTTTTTCAGTCTTATAGTAACAGTGATCGTAATAACTGACTGCATTACTGCTTATTGCAACTCGTTACGACAAACAACAGTCTCTCAGTTAAAAGGCATAAATCCTTTCTGATATTCAAATTTTGAGAAAGCTTGGAAAGTGCAAAAAAATTATTTTAAAAAATATAAAAAATGTTTAAATCCCAAATTTCGAAAATAACCCGTAATAGTGATTTATCACAACCTGTGATTTAGTCACTGATAAAAAAATCACGTAACGTAACTGTTATTAAATGTCGTACAAAATGGTGTCACAACCTAATGACATAGCTTTTGAGAGCAGCGTTTTTCAGCTTTATAGTAACAGTGATCGTAATCACTGACTGCATTACTGCTTATTGCAACTCCTTACGACATACATCTGAAACCGAACGTTATCGAATCGTAACGAAAGACAACGCTAGACCGTATGGTTAATACAAAATATCTGTTCATATTTTGTTGGCTTTCAAAAAAGTAAAAAATGTTTAAATCCAAATTCCGAAAATAACCCGTAATAGTGATTTATCACAACCTGTGATTTCGTCGCTGATAAAAAAAATCACGTAACGTAACTGTTATCAAATGTCTTAGAAAACGGTGTCACAACCTAATGACATAGCTTTTGAGAGCAGCGTTTTTCAGCTTTATAGTAACAGTGATCGTAATCACTGACTGCATTACTGCTTATTGCAACTCCTTACGACAAACATCTGAAACCGAACGTTATCGAATCGTAACGAAAGACAACGCTAGACCGTATGGTCAATACAAAATATCTGTTTATATTTTGTTTAGATATAGGTAGACTGTGAAGTCATTTTCAAACTACAACCTATAAAAGAATTTTTATTTTTGTTATTACGCGGATTTTTTATCCAAAGAAATGTTTGTCAAACGTATTGCAGACATTACACATTTTAATATGGCAACACTGTCGCTTTCAAATCCACACCATCTTCGATATGCCTTCGCTGGTCGAATTAGAGAAAATAAGTTTTATGCGTTGTCCGCAGAACGATTGATGTCTCCATCGTACAGCACTTGAGGCGTAAGGGGAAATCAAATCAGCCTTGTCACAAATTCGCCCATTAGGTTGCATATTATCCCAATTCTTTCAATCAACGGTCAAACTTAAAGGTGCGTCCAGACTTGAATATTTTAACCAGAACAAACCAAACGCATTGGAACAAGCACAACAAATAGTCCGAACAAAAAATAATTGCGTTTGCGCGAATATATATGTTTCATCTGCTCAAAGCGTTTGTGAGTATACTGCGGTAGTTTAGCTTGTTTTTACTAGTAAATGTACAAAACCAACAACCGCAACCATGTATCAAGATAAGAAGAAACATGAATACTGATTTAACAATAGCTTTTAGTGCTTTTTCATAATTTGTAAGGAGAAAAAAAAACAATGCTTAAGAAAATTGTATCGACATCGAGTCCTTGACATGTTATACGAGAAATGGATTATACACAGCTTTAAATATTTTTTTCTAATCCCACTCTTGAATGTAAAATGCCGTTTGGCGCGTTCAGTTCTACTCGGGGACAGGTCCAGGCTTCGCAAATTCTACTCTGCGCGTTCGGTTCGTTCTATTCTTTCGGGTTAAAATGTTCAAATATTAATAAAAAAAATATTAAACCTTAATGAATAATTTAAGAATTAAACATCCTACGGTGGATAATATAGGACGACTGAAAGTAACTGATATTAGAAATCATGGTGTCGGTTGTCACAATAGCCTACATTCGCTAAAGCCACGAAACAGTATGAAAGTTCCGTCACTGTTATTAAAAAATCACGGTATCAGCAGTACGATTCTCAATCACAAAATCGGGACATCACGTCCAGAAGAATAGATAAATTGCGATTTTTAATGTATTTGTTCGGTGCCGAATGCGCGATATACCTTGACTTTAAACGTCAAATCTTCTCGGTCCCTGCGTGGATCCCGAGACGGTACGTAACGTCTCGAAAAGTTAAGAATACGGCTGCAAATAAGTACCTAATAGATAACGATATTATAGTATTTTTTAGAATACAAATTTTATGATAACATAAATATAATTTAAACAAACTAAACTTTAGTTTGAATCACACTGTATAAATATCTCAAACTGAAAATCTGATATAGAACTTTTTTGGATCAATAGGCCAACATGTATAAAATATCTTCAGATCGTGCTTATATTGTGTGTATATCTTAGAAAACCAAAATATGTTCTTAACGTGTAAACTTTAATTTGTTAGGTACAAAGGCAATTAAGTTTTGTTGAAAATAAAAAGCCAACAGGTAAGTTAAAAAATATAATTTCGCTTTGAACATACATAATAATAAAATAGCACGAACAGAACTTTTAAAAAACTTACAAACTAAGGAAATACTTGTGGTTAAACAATTTGCAACACAGTGACTTGGTGTCAAGCCAAAATTTAATAAAAAAATAAAATTATTGGAATCTTTGGTCATAATTCAACTTCAGAAACATCAGACAACTTTAATAACTTGACTTTTACATAAAATAAATTCATTACAAAATATAGACTAGCCAAAGCCAAGTTCTTTATCAAATTTTATGAACAATACTTTGTAGCCCCGTAAAAAATATGAATAGAATATTTAAACAGTATTCATTTAATAATTAGTGTAGATTGAATATCAAATTTAATTAATTTATTATAATAAATATTTGAATCTTGATGGACAATATAAACAAACATAGATACAACAACGTAAAAAAATAACAAATGCGTCAGAATATTTTTATTGAGAGAGAACTTTAGTGTCTTAATATCGAAGAGAACTCCATTACTGGATCAAACAAAGATATTAAAAAGAAAAAATTAAGAATATTTCTTGTCATGTTTTATTCCTAATGTAGACAGTTAACATTGTGCTTCATCAAAATGAAATTATTATATAATGAATGTAACATCGTGAATCGGACTGGACATAAATCTATAGTTCAAATCAGGAAAAGTAACAATCACATCATTCTGAATATTCCAATAAACTTAGAAATTCACATAGAACAGTGATGAATTCAAACAACAATCCCCTCCATATTTGTGGAACAGTTACTAGAGTTGGGATTATTTTAGGTATAGGTGAAAATTATAGATAGTATGTATATTATACTTTATAATTTATTAGTATCAATACATCGATAGCATTTCCATAAGCATTGCTTATTGATAACTATCAATATACAAATAAGAATCGAGATATTGATATCGATAGTTATTTTTAGGTATATTTTTATTTAGCTTTTTATAAACCTTAATGAACATTTCCAAATTAGTATATAAAATAAGTCATATCCATATATTGTTTTTTCATTTCTTGGGTATGAGGTTTTTTTTATTAAATTGAAAGATGGAAATTTTTTTATGCGACGCTTCGCTCCAACATAGTGGGCTTTTCCAGGCACTTTATTCTTGAAGCTGTCTTGCTAGCACCAGTCTGGATAAATGTCAATTATGTAATTTACATAACAATGTCATTTATACAGACTGGTGGGCTTCAAGAATAAAGTGCCTGAAAAAGCCCACTATGTTGAAGCGAAACGTCGCATAAAAAAAATCGAATCTTTCAATTTAATAAAAAAAACTCATACCCAAGAAAAGGAAGAAAAATATATGGATATAATCTAAGGGTTTAAGAAAAAAAGAAAAAAAAATAAAACTAAATTAAGTTATGCATATTATATTTTTAGTTCTCTTTAAAATTTCATAAGGATGGGTTTATATGCATCTGTCATGTGTCGTCTGTCGATTCGTTACTCCAGTCATATTTCAGGGTACAAACATAGTGGGCCATCACGAAGCGATGCTCCCGCGATGCATCCTACGCGCACGTTTTAAGCACTGTTTTAAAACGGCGAGTAAGTGCGCGTACGATGCATCGCGGCGAGCATCGAATCGAGATGCCTCACTATGTAGATACCCTAAGTGTGAGCTGTCATTTTTTAAATAAACCAACAAAATTACATAAAACCAGCAACGGACGAAGCATTACGGATGCATGTAAACCCACACTAAAACCAACACTTTTTGTACTAAATACTTACGATTAGGGACAGATTTCTCCCCGATATATTGATAACTAGTTATCGATACCTACAGATATATCGACAGTTATCGATATATCAACTTACCCCTGATTATCGATATATTGATAATTATCGACATATCGACAGGTGAATAGCGATAACTTATCGATAGGTAAAATCCATTATCGCCCATCCTTATCAGTTACCCCTTCGTTCGTCAGCAGTCAACGCTGCGATTAAAATCCAACGAGAAAAAGTCATCTATCTTTCTTTGGACCAGGGATTTGGCTGTCTCCAGTCCTAAGTCAATAAATTAGAAAGTTGTTTCAATCAAACTTATTTAAATCTCTGTTCCGTCTGCCTTTTCCAAATAAAAATATTCTGACGCAATGGCTATCATTAATGAATCGGATATATCTATGTTGGCTTATACCACCTAGAACATCTAAATTCTCTTAAAAACCCGTTTAAAAATTAACGTAATACCTAACGAACCATTTTAACAATAAAATGAATCGAATGAACATTAATCTTCAGAGAAACTATTAATTTCCATCCTTTACAGAAAGCTTAGAAGAATTATCTTTCTTTAATGGAGGTTTTGAACGAATTCGGTGCCGAACACTACGCGTAACCACCGCATTCTCCTCGCTACCTTGTCCGTTCTAAGACTCACCATTAAATTTGATGGTAGAATCTGGCTTTGGCGGAGGCCTTCGCTTGGCTAGTGGCTCGTCGTCATCAGAGTCTGACACCGTCAGGTCTACAACTTCCTTCTTCTTTTCTGGCTCTTTAGGTTTGTCAGTTGAGGAGGATGGCGGAGTGACGTTTGAGCTCACGATTTCTGATATAAACAAAGTAAATTTTATATTTATAAGTAGTGATGTACAGGAAGTGATGTAAAGTATATTTATAAGTGCTGTAATATTACAGCGGTAATGTTACCGGTAATTTTGGCAATATTACGTAATATTACGGCAAAATCGGTGGCATTGGAAATATTGATTTTTTCCGCTCTACTCTTGTTCTTTTTTTTGTGAAAACAAGATGAGGCTACTTTGTTTCTAGTCCAAAAGTTTTTTGGATAGAAAACAGTCATTGAAAAGCTTAGCAGTTGATGATAGTCCCGATTTTATTGATGTTCTTTCAACACAAAACCAACCCAACCCTCTGCTTCGAAACGAATTTTGGCTACAAGTACAAGCAACTTGTGACTTGTTTAAGCGAATTTCTGAAGCTTTTCCGTTGCTAGGTCGGAAAACAAGAAAATATAAGCAAATCAACGGAGTTCATCTCTGAAACTGCAAGGCGTCATCCAAAGTATTTTTCACAACTAGATCTCATTATTGAAGCACTGACTGGCATAATACAAAATTAAAATTCATTCAGTAAAAAATCTATGTATGTCTGGATCTGTCTGGTGGATAGGAATTTGCTCCAGCTCTAAAATAAGTATGTTGGTCATAGACAATTTAAATTTACAATCGTAAATAACAACCAAACCAAACAACTTCAACCAAAAGAACCTTATTTAGTACTACTTATGCATTTGTCGATCGGCCAACAAGAAACATACTTACCGTGGTCCAGGTGGTTAAGGTCCAGAAACTTACTTATATTGCCCATAATTATAATTTACTAAATGGAAGAAGAAATCGATTTCGAAGTAATAATAGACTTGACTCAATTAACGCAAGAAAAAGAAGAACCATATGTCAAAACTGGGAGGATGATTTACCATTATCCACTCTATTACGTACGAGTATAACATATGTAGGCCACTGTGGCTCTGACTAGCTTAAAAAACGTTCTTGTCTTTTTTTGTAATGTTTTACAGTTTTGAAATAAAAAAAAATAATATTATATAAAAAGCTGTTTTTTTAGAAATTACCAATGTTGCCGTAATATTACCGATTTATAAATTACCGGTAATTTTACATCACTATAAGTACTATTTGGAAATTAGCTTTTTATGGATTTATCACAAACTATATTTGTGATAAATCCAGTGAGGCATAACAATCATGTCAAACCATTCACTGAAATTCCAATCAAAACTAATATTTTAATTAATTACGAAAATGCCAAAAAAATTATTTTATAAAATAAAAGGAGAACGCGCACCACTGTAGATGTAGACGGCATCCACAGACCGAAATTTATTTCCTCATGTAGACAACAAATTCCTACCTCTATTATCTGCAATGGTCGCAGTCACTGCCGTCGCCGTTGCTGGCCACTCTGGCCGGATTCAGTGCGCGTCCTCCTTTAGTTAGTTAACCTTTCCGTTCGTTTAACCTTTCTGGGACCGTGCGGGGTAATTTAGGTACCCCAGATGCAAGGTTATTAAAAGATAAAGTTGTCTCGTAACTCGATCCGCCATTATCGAAAACGTCATCTACTACGTCATAAGAATGATACCGCTCATAGATAAAGGGATAAAAACTGCCCACAGTCCGACAGTGTATTTCCGAATCGATATTCATTGTGTACTTTATTGTTTATAGAGTATGGCGTCAATAGTTTTCAGTTGTTTGATGTGTGTTTTCTTTATTGTATTGTCCATTTATCTCTCTTTGTCGATTGCATTTTATTTTCTATTCCTTTTATCTATGATTCTATACGTTCTATCTACGTCAGAGGGATGCTATTCCGCTTCGCTCCTATTGGTCCAAAAGTTACGAGACAATCTTACCTTTTAATAACCTTGCCCCAGATGCGTCTTTTCTTTAATAACTTTTACAATTTTCATTTCTCATTTTTTTTTCCTTTCAGGTAGTCCTAGAAAATATATTACAAAATCATTTTCTAACAAAAATATCCAAATATTTTTTTTATTTTCCGCGAAAAACTGAAAACATGTCAATTTACTGCCTGGGGTACCTGTGTTACCCCGCATGGCCTGCAGAGATTCGAAATCCTACACGCACAATTCATGTTTTTTCGTGTTGGTGACTGTATGAAGACATAAACAAGTTCTATATTTAGTTTACTGTTGGTATTTACTAAGCTGTAGTAAGTTAGTGCGTGTATTTATTGAAAAATGGCGCAAAAGAAATATACTGATGCTGGGCTAACACAAAAGAGATTCTTACGGAATTCGCTTCGAATTCTGCGCGCAAAGAGCAATCCTCCAGTACAAGGACTTGTACTTCTAAACGTTCTAAGAAGGAAATAAAACGTAACAATTTTCTCAAAACTGTAAAAACAGCAATAGATTTATTTCTTGCCGAAAGCAATGCCGCAGTTCCTATAAATCCTGCTAAAGAGATTCAACCAAATTCAAACCAAAGATTTTGCGGTAAATCACGTAACAGAAAAACAAACATATTATGTAGTACATGCAACAAAAAAACATTTTTAATATTCACTGCAAAGAATGTAAAACATTTTTATGCCATGACTGACTGCCCAATAATGTGTAGAAAATTAATAACAGTTTAGTTTTAAAATTAAATGTATTTTATATTAAACAAATACAAACTATTTAAATTATTGGCGTTTTATTATACAACTTTACAAATTAGTATTAATAATTTACCTACTTGAATGATAAAATATTAATAGTTTTTGAAATATTTCAGTGGGGTATCATAGTTACCCCACACGGCCTAAAATGTAACTTTTTGTAACACGGTCCCGGATAAGTTAAAGTGCTAAAATTACTAAAAAAATTCACTTTACTTACCAACATTATCATCTATTATCTCGATGGAATCGTCAATAGCTATACTAGTTGGTACTGACTTTTCGCTCTTGACAACCTTCTTGTCACTGTTCTGGCTGCTCCAACTTCCATCCTTTAGAAGCTGTATTTCATTGCACTCCGATGGCAGCAATACAGAATTTAGAACTTCTTGAAAATACCTTTAATATTACAATATGTGTCAAAAAATGATACATATATATTTATAGTAACACCAAACTAAACTCACCCATCAATGACCAAGTTGTCATACACTGCAGGTTTATCACAGACAGGACAGTTCCAAGTTGGTTTACGTTCGTTCATTTGGAGGAACAAAGATGCATCAAAACACTGCAAATGTCCACAAGTTTGTGGCCTGCAAGGAGTAGACATTCGCATTTTGCCCAAAGGACACATTAATGAAACTCTTAAACTAGTTGTCGCAATTTCGCAATCTCCATCGTCGCTTAATTTTTCTTTTACTAAAAATAAAATGAAATAAAATATGTCTAGATATTTATCCCTGCTCATCTTACTGAGTGCTCTTGTATGATCAGAATGTTTTGCACCTTTTTTCTGTAACCTCTGAAGCAAATCAGTAGAACTCAGTTTGTGTACAAGCGCCACTGCCATAGCATAGCCACGACCATAGTCAGCTGCCCAAGATACTGATATTTGATTGGCCACAGTTGGACTTAATTTGACCATTTGAGTTATGTTAACTGGTCTGGGTGGTCTCTTTGGCTCTACACCTGGCTTGTTTGTTGGAATAGGATTCTGAAATAATTATACTTCAAACAAGTAAATAAGAAAGTATGCTATGAAACCTACCGGAAGAGGACATAACTTGTTATTAACTTTAACCATAACTTGAGGTGGAAAACAGTCCTCTTGTTCACAAGTTGTTTCCAATAAACAAAATCTTAACTGAACTTGTTTAATATAATCACATTTAACTCCTGGCCTAATATCTCTCGAGATGGCTATATCTGTGGCCTGTTGTGGAGTTAAATGAAAATAAAATAGTTGCTCCTGCATGCGCTGACTTGTTTGAGGCACCAAAGTGGAGGGCTTTATGAGATCAGCTTTAATATAAACAAGAGTTAAGTTCACAACATTAAGATATATCAATAAGATACTTTACCTATTATGTCATAAAAAGGTAATCTACGAAATCTAACATCTGGATGAACTGGAAAATTACTGGACATAACAGGTTGTTTTGGATTTGTATATTGAGGATAATACATATTTTGAGCCATACTAGGTGTGCTGTACATGGCAGTAGTGGCTGCCTGTCTAGTCTATAGCAATAATAACAAATCAAATATAACAAACGTGTAATCCATTCAATATAAAAATATATAACTTACAGTCATTGTCCTTGAATCTACACTAAATGGGTGAACTTGAGCTGTATTTCTTGTTATGTTCCCAGGTTGCTGTGACATTGTTGTAACTTGAGTTTGTTGATCTGGAGTTGCAGAATTTGTCTGAGGACCTGATGTCAGTGTACTGGCTTGCCTGGAAAAGTTGCTAATCAAACAGTACTCCAATTAGTTTCTATGTAAATTAGCTTTTGTATGAAACTCCACTGTCTAATAAACATGTAAATTTAGTAAAATAAAGATTTCAAAATACAAGCAAAATAATTTAATTAGTTGGGCTTTAAAATAAAAAAGCTGGGTGTTTGTAGTACAACCCTAAACATCTCTCTAACCAAGCATTAAAATATAAAGACTAAGATCATCCTAGAAAGTGAAAATACACTTTACCACCACAAAAAATATGGATAAAATACCTGTAGTACATATTTTTGCAGATCCTATATGATGAGATACACCAAAGCAAACATCAGTGTAAAACACTTTCTTAAGTAGTTTTAATTAAACCATTTATCAAAAAATTTGCTACAAAAAAGTGGAATTTATACATTTTTTAAAACAAAAACAATAATTTCAAAGCGTGGATAAATTTAGTATAACATTTGAATTACCTGTATAAAATATCCCTCAGGGACATTTGAAATCCGATGTTAATGTATTAGAAAGAAAAAAAGCAAAAGTAATTAACAATTTAGTAGGCATAAGAACCGTCGGCCATTACATTCGCATAATTCCACAATCCACAACATGAAAATAAGTTAGATTATAGAGGTGAAGTTTGTCATAAACAACTAGGTAACTCTGTCAGAGTCTTCTTCTTTCAATTTATTGGCTGCAGGCAGCCCGGACTATATAAAGCATATATATGTATATATAATTATTATATATGATATCTTTATATGATGTGCCCATGCCAAGACCTGCAGTCGAAGTCGATCCTTTTCAAAGACGTCAAGTACTTTCCGAATCCACGCAGGTACCCAAAAAAAAAAAGGTAAAGGTGTGGATCCGGTGGCTGACCTTGAAGCCCATATTTGCTACATTTGATCATCGATACTACGCAAGCGCACATCGTCGATGTTGCCAAATTGCAGTTTATTTTCGAATTATTGCAGTTGATAAATTTTTTTTGAGTGTTAATCAATAATAATACAAATTCTATAATTAATTTTATAATTTCAGATTTATCTTGATATCCAAAATTAAGGAATGATATATAAAATTGTAATAATAATAACATTTATTTATACATTTATATTAGAATTAAAAATTATCATTTACGGATTTTTTCTTAATGGTTTTAAACTTATAAGAATGATTTTATTTCAAGTTATTTAATTTCTAGTTATTTACAGGCAACAATAGTTTTGATTATATGTATTGATGTATTGAAGTACTACCATGACGAATCTTATAGAACAATACACGTCAATGGGAGATAGAGGTAACATTTTACCTATAATGTTACTAATAGGTATAATATACTTTGATTATAATGTTTGTATCATAATTTCCATGATAATTTCTTAAAAATATCAAGTTAATGGATTAATAGCAATTTTAGACATATATTTTATCGAAGAGTGTGGTGATAAGACTAAAATAAGCTTTATGTTTTATCTTTTTCTCTTTAGAAGGGACATGGTTTGTGTCGTAGAATACATTACAGTATTTAATATCGTGTACTTTGATATTCTTTTCTTAATTTACTGTAATTTCTTGTTTCCTATATTTCCTATAATGCCAAATCTTGACAATATGGTGAAGGTTGAGTTTTGATCTTATTAGTTTTATACCTGTGTTTATACAAGACCAAATTAAGACTTAGTTAGTTTGGGATTTATATTAAGATCTTTCTTATAATATTTGTTATGTCTTAATCTTAATACTATATTATAAAATAGGTAAATGTTAAAATATCTTAATTTTGCATATCCTATTCCATCCTTCCATTAGGAAAAATATGGTTTATAAATCATATATGCTATTCTAAATTAGGTGTAAGAATAGAGAAATCTTAAGGTAGCAGAAAAATTAATGCAATATATGTATAAGCAGAATTAAACAAGGTAACTGTTAATGTTGCTGAAGCTGATTCTACAATTTTAATTACGGAGGCTAAAAGGCCTTTTAAGGCCTCCGTAGTTTTGATGGAATGTTAACAAAAACTATTATGAACAAGACATGGAGCTACAGCATTTAAAAATTAAAAAAAAAAGAAAAAACTTGGGCACTTCCCTTTTAATTTCCCGAATTTTTAATAAAGCCCTTTTTAAACGTTGCATAATAATCTAGAGCAATTAGATTAATTATAGGAATCTAGAGTTTTATTTCTATTTAATTTTATTGACTATGAAAATACATAATAAGCGTTCACGTGTTGTGCGAAATATTAAAATAATATAAATAATATACCGTACTATGACCGAAAAAATAGCGTCAGCGATGACTATGAAATGAAGATCGCTGTCATTTTTTATGTAAATTTTATGGAAATGTCCTCAATCGTCATTTCCCAGCCAACTGGACGCCGTTTTTCGATCATACGGTATATATTGACAAAAAAACACTGAAAAACACATATGAAGGAAAATTAAAATTATTTGTTTTCTACTGAAAATAATTCCAAAATAACTTGCACTCCGGCAACATCGACTATTTGCGCATGCGTAGTATCTGTGACTATATGCAGCAAAAACTCGTTTCAAGGTCAGCCACCGGATCCACACCATTACCAAAAAAAAAATTGCAGCCCTGTTTGCATGTACCCGGCGAATACTCTTCGGGACTCGATTTTATGATCGAAAATCGCGCTGCTGGCAGGGTTCGGAAGTAGTTAATTAAGACGTAATTTACCTGATTAACTACGTGTAGTTTTTCTTCAAAAACTACGTCTTTTCCCGTTCATTAACTACATAAAAACTACGTTAATAAATTATCTATTGATATTATGAATCATTGTGCTTTGTAGTAGGAATCTAAATAATATGATGTGAATGGTTATATTTAAAGCCATATTTCTTCTGTTTTCTTAAATACATTATATGTTTTCTAAAGCTTCAACTTATTATAACCTCACCTCAAACCTTTAATATTTGAAAGTTACATACATATGTTACATAAACTACATTAACTACCTGTAATGTAGTTTATGTAGTTTTTATAAGTAAATGTAGTTTTCCGAAACCTGGCTGCTGGTACTAGAGATGAGCAAAACTACTCGACTACTGCGATTGTGATTTATAAATTGTTGCGACTGTATCCTGGGGTTGCGATTTTAGTACTTTTAAATTGATACTGTAAAAATCTTTGGTAAAAATTATAAAATACTAGAGGTGGGAATTCTAGTTCCTTGGGAGGAAATAGTTCTTTAGTTCTAGTTCCTCCAGAGCAGGGTTCGGAAAACTACATGTTACTTTTAAAAACTACATAAACTACATTACATGTAGTTAATGTAGAGGGTGTAGTTTATGTAACCTATGTATGTAACTTTCAAATATCAATGGTTTGAGGTGAGGTTATAATAAGTTGAAGCTTTAAAAACACATAATGTATTTAAGAAAACGGAAGAAATATGGCTTTAAATATAATATTTACATCATATTATCTCTATTACACCTCATACAAAGGAAAATTATTCGAAATATCAATACATAGTTTATTAACGTAGTTTTCATGTAGTTAATAGAGAACAACGGCATACGGTCGAGTCGGCCGCTGCTGGCACGTAGACGTAGACGTAAAGAATCTTTTACGTGTATAAAAAATAAAAAATATACGGCATACGGTCGAGTCGGCCTACAAACACGTAAACGTTTACGTACGCATGCGCATTTCTTATATTTTTTATTTTTTATACACGTAAAAGATTCTTTACGTCTACTTCTACGTGCCAGCAGCGGCCGACTCGACCGTATGCCGTTGTTCTCTAATGAACGGGAAAAGACGAAGTTTTTGAAGAAAAACTACACGTAGTTAATTAGGTAAATTATGTCTTAATTAACTACTTCCGAACCCTGCTCCAGGGGAATAGTTCCTTAAACTATGTCTTTAGTTCACAATAGTTCCCGTATAACATTGGTCGCGTTCATCAGGACGTAGCGCTACTGCAGCGATCACTAATTTTCTGCTGAACGCGCCGGTTAGTTGTGAGCGCTCCGGGATCAGTCGCCATTTTTTCCATCAGATTTAAAATACGCTACGCTACCGATGCATGATGGATTAAACATCACATACGCCAAATCTCACAATATGTTTTGGAAAACGAAAACAAACCATTTTGTTTATTGTTCTCAGTTGATTTGTTGATTAATACTCTCGATTTGTGCCAAGAATGGATGAAAACAATTTAGTATGCATTACTTAAAATTTTGATCTAAAAAGCGCGTTCAGCAGGACAACCAATCGATGGTACATCGCTCACTGATCAACTTGTCCTGATGAACGCGAGCATTGACATCCCCGTTGCTTGCTTAAAGCTTGTTTCATATAGACGCGAATCGCGAATTGCGATTTTGCGAAACTGTTCTCATTGGTCCAATTTTAATGATCATGCAGCGCTGTCAGAAATTTTAAGATTTTGGCGATTCGCAAGATTTAAAATTTGGGGGGCAAGAAAGTTAAAGTGTTTTCAACTTTTTGCGAATATTCGCGCGATTTTAAGGTTCGCGTTTGCGCAGAATGGTGTTGTGATCCGGTTATCGATTATTTTGACGACGCTGCCACAAAGCAGAGCACAAAGTACCAAAGCAGAGACCAAAGTACAAAGTAACTGAAAGCATTTCTCCAGGTGAAATGGGTTCTCGTGTATATGTTTTTGATATAATATGGTGACAATTTTTCAACCAAGTTATCAAACTCCTGTACAGACAATCTGTGAAAATTCCTAAATTTTTCCTCATCTTTTGTCCTCATTTCTTGAATTAAATTGCGATAAGCACCTTGTTGCTTACGAAATTTAAATATTTCACATGTCCCAAATGACCTATAAACCCGTTCTATTCTACGTTTTAACAATAAGTAAATGGCAATTTTGCATCTTCTGTTCCAATCCCACAATCATAATCAATATTAATAATCATTAAACAAATTTAAACTCATATTGTATGCTATAAAATATAAAATAAAGATCGTAAACACGAATAAAAACAAATTAAGTTATCTCAGGTTATTTTTTTTTAGTAACTTTCAGTGGAGCAAAAATGAAATATGAAATGTCCCTAAAAATTCGCGACTGTATGAAATAGGTCCAAATTTTGCGAATATTTTTTGGCGAATCGCTTTTCGCAATTCGCGATTCGCATCTATATGAAACAAGCTAAGGGTTTAATTGTCAGTCAGTACTATTCACAGTATACTTTTTATAATGTACGAAATATAACGAGACGTGTAATTGCGTATATTAAAAACATATAGGTAAGTTTTATTGCAGATAAAAGAAATAAAAGAGAAACTCAAATCAGAGTTTAAAAAACTAAATTGTAGCAAATAATACGAAAAATTGCATTTTTCCTCACTTCAAGCTTTTTCTTTTAGTCTAAAAATTCAGAATATCTACTTCGTTTTATAAGATATTTCTTAATTTTAGGGACCAAACCAAACCAAAACATTCCCATAAAATATTCAAAGAACAAACTGAAAATCAAAAACAGTATCCACGACAATTTTTTGTGGTAATTACGCCAGCTGTGGCAATAGACAAGGCCGAATCCATCGTCGTCGCCTTGTATTATATCTCGGATCTGCCGATTGACTAGATTTCCGTGAACTAGTCTTTTAATTAGTTTCTCTAGTCCCTCTCAGTCCTTTCGGTCCGGGACAGGTAGCATATAGCTAGCACTCTCCGCTCTCACCAAGCATCGGGCTACGATCGCGCTGGCCGATCCGTACGTAAACTAGTCTTTTATTTAGTTCCTCTTGTTCTTCTAGGTCCGGATCCGATAACATATGACTGGCACTCCCCACTCCTGTCTAGCATTGGACAACAATCGCGCTGACTGATCCATACGTAAACTAGTCTTTATTTAGTTTCTCTAGTTCTTCTAGGTCCCGATCCGATAACATACGGCTGCACTCCCCACTCTTGCCTAGCATCGGGATACAATCGCGATGGCCGATCCGTCGCCGTCGCATATTATTATATATTATTATACACATATATATGTATATTATTATCGATCCCGAAATAGGTCTTGAGGAACTACTTCTTTGAGAAATTCCGAACTAGTTCCTTTCATTCCGGGGTCGGAATAGTTCATTTTACCTAGTTCGTTCACGAACTACACATCTCTATAAAAATACTGTAACTTGATAAAATTGAATTGTATTAAACCTTTATATAAAATAAATTATAAAAAACTCTAAAAATAATTATCGTCATAAATAATTAAATATTAGAACAAATCTAAGTCGTCGGAGACCATAGAAAAAAGGTGTAAGGCGCTGTCAACAATCGTATTTTTAAAATCTAAACAATAGGGGGAAACAAGATTTTTTTAACATCTTCAATTCATATGTGATCCGGCAATAGTGCGTTTGGCATCTGTAGCTTCTGAAATAAGTAACTTAGGAATTTTGATTAAGTGCATTCTTAAAGCTTTGCATAAAATATGTATAAAGGTATATCAGCTCTCTTCCGTTTACATAAAATATTATATCATGTAAATGAATAGGACAATGCACACTATCCGTTCCGTTTCCCTTCCGTTCCATATCCTTTCCTTCCTCGTGGTTCGATCGTGGTCTCGATCGCGTATGTGTTCTCCGATTTATTTGTCTTATTTTCCGGTCACCTTACATAATCCTAAAGCCGCGTATAAATATGCCGAGGCAAGTACGAGACAAACCCGAAACGAGTATGAAACGAGGCTATAGCAAATTCTTTCCAAAAGGCGTACTAATATGCCGAGACGAGGACGAGACGAGTCAACCTCAAGCGGAATTCGTCATATAAGATATTAAATATGTTTTGAGAGTTTCGGAGATGTTAATAAGTAAACAAAAAACAAATAAAACAAATATTTTCTAGCCATTCTTAAAAAAAAATATTAAAAATACAAGAAATGTCCGGAAATCAAAACTATACTAGTTATTTACAATAGTTGGTCTGTACTTACTGTCCTATAAATGTCGTAATCTTAAACCGTACAGGGTGTTCAAAATTATCCGCCAAACTTTCTGAAATATCGTTTTTCTCCGTTTTATTTTTTAATGGAACACCCTGTATTCTTTTGTTAGATGGAGAATGGATGGAGAATTAAAAAATGACCATTTTTTGTACTTAAATTATTTCAAAATATTTAACAGCTTAGCGGATATTCGTAATATTATATCACATATGGTTTTTTCAAAGGTAATTTTTTAACAAAACCACCATTATGTAAAGTACTCAGAAAATAAGATAAAATTCTATATTATTGAATTTCAGGTTATTCCATTTAAAAAAAATCGTCCAGATCCATAGAAAATTTCTAAGTTGTTTATTATAAGAGCTATGGATGCGACGCACTATTGCCGGACCCTGTATATTATATTATAAATCTGAAACTATATTAAAATATTATAATTATCAAAATTTTAAACTAATATCGCAACTGTAAGAACTAAAAGAAAATCGCAACTGAAGTAGTATTGGTAGTAATGATATCAAATATGAAGAATAGGGCAGTCAATCTTAAAAATCCCAAATGCCTGACTAATACCACAGCTAACATGCAGAGCTAATATGTAGAAGAAAAAACATTAAGTATATTTTACACATTGTCCTTTTTGTTTGTCTAACCTGTAGATTATTTAAATCCTTTGAAGTTATTTTATTTCTCAAAAGAATATAAATAAAATGACCTAACTTCCTCCTTTCAGCAGTTTATTGACAATAGCTATACCTGCATGCTCAACAGGCACGCAAACTGTATCTGGATTAAAAGTAACCTGAAAACTTAGTCAATCTCGAGGCGTCATCTATTAAAAAGTGACATATAATTTTGTCAAAAATTTTCGTCTTAAATTATCATTTAAATATACAATTTAAAAGTTATTTTTACTCAATGTTATGGAGGGTAGATGTACATGTGTGGAAGGTAGATATAATAATAAATTACAACCTTGTTAAGTATTAAAAAATAAAGAAAAGTACGGGCCAAGTAATGACGTGTAGGGCTTGGCCTCGCCAAAATTATCATTGATTGTTATCCAAGGCAGATTAAAAAATAATCTATTAATAATCATAGGTATATAATAAAAATCTACCCTTCTTGTGTTAAGATGATGGTTGTCAGATCACTGTAATATATGATTTAGGATTGTACCTTTTAATTACTTTTTTATGCAAACAAAAGGTAAATAAAAAGAAATATGTTGCAGTTTATAATAATGAGTATGAATCACTGAACATCCTTACCGCTATAATTTCCTCTCATTAATGCACTACTATAGTTATAATGGTTAATCAAACTTACGATTGTATGGTTTTATATAATTCTCTGATTTTTTGATGGATCGGATGTGTTCTAACTCTGAGTAATTCTACAGCTCTTTGTTGAAGTTCGGTTTTACGTCCTGTCTTATTTCTACCAGCATAGCCCAATAACATTTGTAATTCTGACACTCGAAAACTGAAGAGCATATTCTGAAATTCAAATATATACTAATCTTTTGAAATGGGCTTAAGAACTGATATTTACCCGTAATTCTTCAGTTTGCTCAGACATCTCCTCCCTTGCATTAATGCGGTTTCCTTAATAATTCCTTGAAACTCTTGATATAGACCTCACCATAAAAATATGAAAAATAGAGTAGAACTGTTATGCATGATATCTAATAGTACAAAAACAGAAAACCACTTATATAGAAGCATTGTCCAAATAACTTTATATATTACACTATTATAAGTAAGTATTAGCACTTATTACATTAAAAATAAGATATGAAGAATTCGGCGGGAATATTGTTGAATAGTGCTATAGCACAAAAAAACACAACAAACATCATTCCTATACTAATTCATTTCGCGGGTTGCCAAAGAATTAACTCTCTCTTTGGGTAGAACTTAACCATATCCAGCAGTACTTTTGTTTATTAATTTTATTTTTATTTTAATTAGTAGGAGTCACCAAAAATTCTATTCGAGTTTTATAAATATAAAATTTGACAGATTTGTAAAAATTTGGAATACGCTCTATTAGTGTGACGTCATGTAGCAGAAGGTCAGTGTCGCAAAATCCAAACTAAGCAAGAATAAAATGGGATAATCTACTTTTTCTTAATTTTTTAGGTAATGGCAGACTACGTAATGGTGTGGATCCGGTGGCTGACCTTGAAACGAGTTTTTGCTGCATATAGTCACAGACACTACGCATGCGCACATTTTCGATGTTGCCAGATTGTGAGTTATTTTGGAATTATTTTCAGTAGAAAACAAATATGTGCTTTTCAATGTTTTTTTGTCAATATATACCGTATGATCGAAAAAACGGCGTCCAGTTGGCTGGGAAATGACGATTGAGGACATTTCCCATATAAAATGACAGCGATCTTCATTTCATAGTCATCGGTGACGCTATTTTTTTTCATAGTATGCGGTATATTATTTATATTATTATTTTAATATTTCGCACAACACGTGAACGCTTATTATATATTTTCATAGTCAATAAAATTATATAGAAATAAAACTCTAGATTCCTATCTAGATTATTATGTTACGTTTAAAAAGTGCTTTATTAAAAATATAATATTAATTCGGGAAATTAAAAGGGATGTGTCCAAGTTTTTTCCTTTTTTTAAGCTGTAGCTCCATGTCATGTTCATAATAGGTTTTTTTTAACATTTCATCAAAACTACGGAGGCCTTAAAAGGCCTTTTAGCCTCCGTAACTAAAATTGTAGAATCAGCTTCAGCAACATTAACATCAGTTACCTTGTTTAATTCTGCTTATACATATATTGCATTAATTTTTCTGCTACATTAAGATTTCTCTATTCTTAGACCTAATTTATGTGATTTTCTTAGCATATATGATTTATAAACCATATTTTTCCTAATGGAACGATGGAATAGGATATGCAAAATTAAGATATTTTAACTTTTATTTTCCAGACGAAGCATAATATATAGTATTAAGATTAAGACATAACAAATATTATAAGAAAGATCTTAATATAAATCACAAACTAAGTCTTAATTTAGTCTTGAATTTCTATTATTATTATTATTCTTATAAAACTAATAAAATCAAAACTCAACCTTCACCATATTGTCAAGATTTGGCATTATAGGAAACAAGAAATTAAGTAAATTAAGAAAAGAATATCAAAGTACACGATATTAAATACTGTAATGTATTCTACGATACAAACCATCTCCCTTCTAAAGAGAAAAAGATAAAACATAAAGCTTATTCTAGTCTTATCAATACACACTCTTCGATAAAATATATGTCTAAAATTGCTATTAATCCACTAACTTGATATTTTTAAGAAATTATGATACAAACATTAATTATAATCAAAGTATATTATATTAGTAACATTATATAATAGGTAAAATGTTACCTCTATCTCCGATTGCCGTTTATTGTTCTATAATAAGACCCGTCATGGTAGTACTTCAAAACATCAATACATGCATATAATCAAAAATATTGTTGCCTGTAAATAACTAGAAATTAAATAACTTGAAAGAAATAAAATAATTCTAATAAGTTTAAAACCATTAAGAAAAAATCCGTAAATGATAAATTTTAATTCTAATGTAAACATATAAATAAATGTTATTATTATTACAATTTTATATATTATAATACTTTCATTTCACAATCTTCATTATCCCGCAAAAAAAATTTTCAACTGCAAATAATTCGAAAATAAACTGTAATTTGGCAACATCGACGATGTGCGCTTGCGTAGTATCGATGATCAAAAGCAGTAAATATGGGCTTCAAGGTCAGCCACCGGATCCACACCATATCCACACCGGTAATGGTGTGGATCCGGTGGCTGACCTTGAAAGAGTTTTTGCTGCATATAGTCACAGACACTACGCATGCGCATATCTTCGATGTTGCCAGATTGCAAGTTATTTTGGAATTATTTTCAGTAGAAAACAAATATGTGCTTTTCAGTGTTTTTTGTCAATATATACCGTATGATCGAAAAAACGGCGTCCAGTTGGCTGGGAAATTACGATTGAGGACATTTCCCATATAAAATGACAGCGATCTTCATTTCATAGTCATCGCTGACGCTATTTTTTCAATCATAGTACGCGGTATATTTATATTATTATTTTAATATTTCGCACAACACGTGAACGCTTTTATTATGTATTTTCATAATCAATAAAATTAAATAGAAATAAAACTCTAGATTCCTATAATTAATCTAATTGCTCTAGATTATTATGCTACGTTTAAAAAGTGCTTTATTAAAAATTCGGGGGATGTGTCCGAGTTTTTTCTTTTTTTTTTAGTAGCTGTAGCTCCATGTCATGTTCATAATAGGTTTTACATTCCATCAAAACTACGGACGCCTTAAAAGGCTTTTTAGCCTCCGTAATTAAAATTGTAGAATCAGCTTCAGCAACATTAACAGTTACCTTGTTTAATTCTTCTTATACATATATTGCATTAATTTTTCTGCTACCTTAAGATTTCTTTATTCTTACACCTAATTTATGTGATTTTCTTAGATTTCTAAGATATTTTAACATTTATTTTCCAGACAAAGCATAATATAGTATTAAGATTAAGACATAACAAATATTATAAGAAAGATCTTAATATAAATCACAAACTAAGTCTTAATTTGGTCTTGTATAAACACAGGTATAAAACTAATAAGATCAATTGTCAAGATTTGGCATTATAGGAAACAAGATATTACAGTAAATTAAGAAAAGAATATGAAAGTACACGATATTAAATACTGTAATGTATTCTACGACACAAACCATCTCCCTTCTAAAGAGAAAAAGATAAAAGATAAAGCTTATTTTAGTCTTATCAACACACACTCTTTCGATAAAATATATGTCTAAAATTGCTATTAATCCACTAACTTGATATTTTTAAGAAATTATGATACAAACATTATAATCAAAGTATATTATATTAGTAACATTATAGGTAAAATGTTACCTCTGTCTTCCATTGACGTGTTGACGTGTATTGTTTTATAAGACTCGTTATGGTAGTATTTCAAAACATCAATACATATAATCAAAACTATTTGTTGCCTGTAAATAACTAGAAATTAAATAACTTGAAAGAAATAAAATAATTCTAATAAGTTTAAAACCATTAAGAAAAAATCCGTAAATGATAATTTTTAATTCTAATGTAAATATATAAATAAATGTTATTATTATTACACAATTTTATATATTCATAATACTTTCATTTCACAATCTTCATTATCCTTCTTACCTTAATTTTGGATATCAAGATAGATTTGAAATTACAAAATTAATTTTAGAATTTGTATTATTATTGATTAACACTCAAAAAAAACATTTCAACTGCAAATAATTCGAAAATCAATGTCGAAAATAAACTGCAATTTCGCAACATCGACGATGTGCGCTTGCGTAGTATCGATGATCAAATGCAGCAAATATGGGCTTCAAGGTCAGCCACCGGATCCACACCTTTACCTATTACTACACTCCATACCTATTAAGCCCCGTTCTCAGAACTGCGTCGTGTCGACAGCGACACTGATTGACACTTCAAACGACCAATGGGAGCTGTACTAAATTTAAAATTGACAGCTGTTTGAATTTTGTACAAATCTGATTGGTTCTTTTGTCGTGTCGCGGGCGACACAGATTGACATTTCAAACAACCAATGGGAGCTGTACTAAATTTAAAATTGACAGCTGTTTGAATTTTGTACAAATCTGATTGGTTCTTGACGTGTCGCTGTCGATTATCGCTGTTCTGAGAACAGGGCTTTAAGCCTGCGTTCTCAGAACTTTGCGTCGTGTCGACAGCGATACTGATTGACACTTCAAACGACCAATGGGAGCTGTACTAAATTTAAAATTGACAGCTGTTTGAATTTTGTACAAATCTGATTAGTTCTTTTTAATCGTGTCGCTGGCGACAGTCGCAGTTCCTGAAGAACTGAACTTTAAGCCATCGTTCTCAGAACTTTGGCGTCGTGATAGGCAGCGACACTGGGATTGACACTTCAGAGCGACCAATGGGAGCTGTACTAAATTTAAAATTGACGGCTGTTTGAGATTTTGCACAAAATCTGATTGGTTCTTTTTGTCGTGTCGCTGGCGACAGTCGCAGTTCGGGAACGGGGCTTTCGCCGTTCTCAAAGACTGCGTCGTGTCGACAGCGACACTGATTGACACTTCGACGACCAATGGGGCACTAAATTTAAAATTGACAGGACTTTACTCTGTTCAAAGGTTCAAAGGATATTTGTGTCGGTAGAGGTGTGGATCCGGTGGCTGACCTTGAAGCCCATATTTGCTGCATTTGATCATCGATACTACGCAAGCGCACAATTGCAGCTTATTTACGAATTATTTGCAGTTGAAAAATTTCTTTTTGAGTGTTAATCAATAATAATACAAATTCTATAATTAATTTCATCATTTCAGATTTATCTTGATACCCAAAATTAAGGTAAGAAGGACCAGTTGGCTTGGAAAAGACGATCGATGGCATTTCCTATATAAATTTACATATAAAATGACAGCGATCTTCATTTCATAGCCATCGCTGACGCCGTTTTTATTCGATCATACGGTATAATGAATATATAAAATTGTACTAATGATAACATTTATTATATATATTTACATTTACGGATTTTTTTTTTAATGGTTTAGATAATATAATTCTATAAACTTATTAGAATTATTTTATTTCTTTCAAGTTATTTAATTTCTAGTTATTTACAGGCAACAATAGTTTTGATTATATGTATTGATGTATTGAAGTCACGGCAGGCTAACTCTGCCCAGATCCCATTGTTTAAAATTTCTATAAAATTTGACCTTGAAATCACCATTATGGGTGCCGAGTCAGGGCCGGATTAAAACGTGTCAAAAAATTTCCGAGAAAATAAACTATTGATAGACAGGGTCGCATTAAAAAAAATACTGTAATTGACTGAATTTTATTTACACGATACTTTTATCTAAACAAATGAGTCGTTAACCGCGCATACTCCTCGAAAAGTAAAAATGAAAAAATCAATTAAACATTTAACTCTAGAGAATAGACAACTAAAATTAAAAAACATGCCAGGAGTTACAAACAAGAATTAAAGAAATACCCTAAGAATAAAACTACTGCAATGTGGTAATGTATATTTAAAAAAAAAGAATCAAAAATACGTTTTTCTAGTAGATATTTTTCGTAAATAGGTATTTTTGGTCCAATAATTAAAAAAAAATTATTCTCGTTTGTGTCTATATTATATATGTATAATAATGTACAATTACAGCCGCGCACATATTAGATTTCAATATTTATTTCACTAATTCACGTATATCTACTATAGAAGTAAATTTAAAATACCTATATTAAAGCAGAATTGAATTTATTTTGTTAAAAACTCAGGTTGGAACTCTATAACAATGCAAACAAGTATAATTAAAAAAATTAAAGGATTAAGGAAATCTTATACTTTTATAGGGTATTGGATTTTTGAGAACTTATATATTGTTACCTGTTGAAAGACAAAAATAAACAAGGTACCCCCTTTATTCCAATGACAACCTATAACTTATTCATCTGCTTCAATATTTATTACTATAATTTCGTGATCTGTTACATTTTCTTCCGCTTCCTTTAAAAATGAACATACATGTCCTAAAAGATCTGGTTGTGCTTTTATTTGTAATGCCCACTTTCGCAAAGTTGATAAACCTGGTAATGGATAATTGAGCTTAGTTTTTACATAAACATAAGATTTTTTACAGAGACAGTAAAGTGCAAAAGCCTTATTCATCTCTTCCATGGACCAATTTATCCGTTTTTTTCTTTTCAAAATCATGTCAATCTGATTATTAGTAAAAACTCGTCTAAGTGCATTAACAGACTTGTCTTCTTCAAAAGTAATTTTTTCTTTTTTTGGTTTACGCTTTTTATAATACTTTAATTGTTTATTCTGTAACAATAATTTACGCTTTAAAACTTTCATATCTGTCCTTAATGAGTTATATTTGTCTAGTAATTTTTCATATTCTTTATGATCAATATTCTGCTGTAAGGGTTGGATATTGTTGCGTTCTAGGATTGATTGTCGCTTTGTTGCTGGTAATACAGATTTCCATTCTTCAGAAAGAACTTTGTCAATTTCTTCTTTCCTATGACACTCCTGTTCTATCTTTACCTTTGCTTCAAATCTTTTCTCTCTTTCAGAAATTGGCTGATCTTCTTGGCCAGGTAGATTTAGGGTTGGAATAGCACTTTTTTTCAACAATTTTCTTACTGGTAAACCTAATAGAAAATATTTGTTTAAAAACAGTTTTTAGCTAATAGTATGCAGCACAACCAATATTCGCAACTGTTATAGATGAAATCGTCCTATTGCTGCCGAAAGTCACTAACTAATATTTTTCCGAACAACCAAATTCACTCACTAACTATGTTTTAAAGCGGAGAATCAATTACAAAAGTCATTAACTACGATTTCTGGCTATTTATGTTTTATTTTAATACTGAATAGTTACTAACTATAACATCTTTATGCAATGCAATTCATCTTTAGATGCATTTTTCTCGGAAGTAATAAAAAGTAAGTTAGTAGACAGTTAAAGCAAGGCACAATACGTATACGTATCTCTCGACACGTTACGCAGAAACCTACGTTACGTCTGCCGTTACGTTGTCATGTAAACAAGAGTTAAAGCAAGTATTTGACGTACGTAATGCAAATGGTACATTTGTAATTCTAAATTATTTTGTGAAACAATTTATTTAATTTTAAAACTGAAAATGGATATCTATTATTCCATTAATCCGCACTAAATTTATAAAAGTAATATCGAAAAATGAAGAAAATTATAAATGGAAATTATTTTATTACAGAAAGTAGTCCTTACAACTTAAAATGCTCTTAGTAATAAAAAATATAGGGAAACAGACAGAGTTTTATGATTATTTCATATGGATTTTGGCTAAGAACTAGCATATTTAATTAAATAGATTCCAAAATGAGTTTATTATGATGCTTAATATTTTCATATTAATTTATTACATATTAATTTATAGCCAGTTGTGGAAACGAATTGTTGTGAATTTGTACGTTCGGCATCATTCGGGTGAAAATCGAAACTCCTTCGGCTCGATATGTTTGCGTTTTGTATGTACGTAAAGGCACGTAAAGATACGTATCACGTATCCGTAAACGCAAGTGAATTTCTCACTGCGCAAGCGTACATGTCAAACGATACGTTTATGTCTACGTCTTTGGCCGTGCTTTAACTGTCTAGGGACTTTTGGCCGCAATGGGACGAAATATGATTGTACATAAACAAATCCAAAAGTTTTGAAAGTTCATATACATACTTTCTTTACACTGATGTTTTATAAAATTATTATTATTAATAATTTTTAATATACATCCATATTTCTGGCAAGTGTATATATACATACCTAATAATTCATTCCTCAAATCCCTGTCATAATCTGTATCTTTAAAATGTATAGAACAAATACTACTGTTGGCAGGATTAAAATTATCGGCTCTTCTGCATCGAAGAACCCACTCTTTCAATGTATTCTTTGAGACGGGATTTTTAGCCTTTGGAAAGTTGTGGTATATAATATCCAATTTAGACCTTTTTGTAGCAAAAGCGCTATTGTTGCAGCTGAACACAGCACATCGGCGTCCTGGCATCTCTTCAAATTCTGTTTAAAATATCTATATGTAATTAACAAAATGTATGCATATTACAAATATAAATCCTTATCCAATACTAACAAAATCTAGGGCTGTATCTTCTACGGCTGTTTTCTGTATCTATGAATATTAACAAAACTAGTAAAGGCAGAGGGTGAAGGTAAAGATTTAAGCGTTTCCTTCTACTATGATTTAAGTAGTTAATTTTGAAGTTATAGGTATAAACTTGATATTAATATTAATATCATAGAATAACTAACTGAATAATATATTCTACAACTATTGTTTTAACGTTTTAAGTCCGGATAATCGGCTTAAACGTTAGAATTGTTTATTTATTTATTTCTCTGACTTGTTTTTGTTTTCTTTTTCTTTTGTGACATTATGACCAAATATGAGGTTAGTAGGCTAGTTCATTATTGATTAATGGCATCAACTGCCAGGGCTATCCGGCAAGTATGAAAGTAGAATGTAAAAAGGCCTACTTAATTAAAAAAGTATTAAAATGTTAACAAAAGGCTTGAACAAAAGGTACAAAATTAGGATCAATGTATAGCATATATGAAGTACATATAAAATCAGAAAATTAATTATCGAATTCAATAAGAAAACGCTAAAAAAGTTGAGTGGACTGTTTATTTACCTATGAAACTATTTCTGGCTATAGCCATAGCTTCTGGTTCTTTCTCTTCTCTCTCTCTCTCAGAACATCGACTGTCGCGAGCGACACGTCAAATGAACCAATGGGATTTGTACAAAATTCAAGCAGCTGTCAATTTTGAGTTTTGTGCAAATCTTATTGGTTCTTTTGACGTGTCGCTCGACATTCCGAACGGGACTTTTTTAAAGCTACATGTCCGTTACATGTCCTTGTGTTCTTTAGTCATTGGTACAACCACAGGTACAACTCCCATCTTTGAATGTCAATCAGTGTCGCTGGCGACAATTACGAAGACAAGACAATTATTTATTTATTAACGTGTGTATAATATATAATTAAATAAAACATAATGTAATAACATATATTTTAAACGTGTATATACATATATACCGTATGATCGAAAAAAAACGGCGTCTTGGAAATGACAATTTCACAAATGAATATTAAAAATTACATTATTCATTGAATATTGAATCCGTAAGCAAGTGTGAAGAGAATTGGCTAGATTCATTATTATACCGGTTAATCGAAAAAAACGACGTCCAGTTGGCTTGTAAATTACGATCGATGACATTCCCCATATAATTCTACATATAAAATTACATAAAAACTATACAAAACGACATCGAAAAAAGACGGCGTCAGCGATGGCTATGAAATAAAGATCGCTGTCATTTTATATGTAAAATTATATGGGGAATGTCGTCGGTCGTCATTTACAAGCCAACTGAAACGTCGTTCGACCCTCGACCATAATGGTATATATAATGAATCTAAGCCATTACCCTTCACACTTGCGTACGGTCGTACAGATTCAATGAATAATGTAATTTTTAATATTATTACCTTCAATCATAAGATATCCTATTTTTAAGAATATCCGAATTTATTCACACAAAAATTAAACAATTCTGGAAGCTTTGTGTTATTTTATTTATTTTTAAATTTTTATTAATTACTCACTGAAACTATTATTATACACTTAAATTAGCAAATATTTTGAAAGAATATTTAAAAAAATATATGTATGTAATAACAAGTAGCCCACCACAAGTTTGTCCACCCCCAACAAATCTTGGCAGGTAAATTTAAGTTTTATATAACTATACATAGGTATATATTTTTTATCACTAGAATTTTTCATTTTTTATAGTTTACAATTATTTTACATATTTGATAACAATACTTTACACTTTTTTTACATGTAAAATATATAAAAAAATGTTTATTGCAGAAATTGTATTTCTCTGATTATAATTCCCTACGCCACTGGTGAAATCCGGTCTGAGTAGCAATATTTATAGTTTCAAACATTAATTATAATACAGGATATTGAAAATACTACTTGAAATTAATAAAAATAGTTTGGTTTGGATGTGGTACAAGACATATTAAAAGCATTTTACATATTTTTACTGCTATAATGAAAAAATGTACATTTTATGACCACATAACAAAAGTTGTGTATCGATTTTTACCTGTGAAATGTAATTCCAGCCACTTTTTTCTCGCTTCGGCCTTTGCAGCCATACTCTGAACATCTCACCATACTAAACAACACAGTTTATAAATTTAAAACAAAACAGTGGTCACAAAAAACATAAAAATTCGCTCGGTGTCACCTCGAAATCATGTCACCAAAGTATGGCCGCCCATCGAATTTTGAGGACACTCTCTCACTATCTGATTACGGGAGAATATGCGTGTTTCTGGTGTTACCCGTCCCCTCTCTTTCCTTGTCTAAGCCAGCGACACATCAAAATCAGATTTTTACAAAATTCAAACAGCTGTCAATTTTAAATTTAGTACAGCTCTCCCCCGTTCTCAGAACTGCGTCGTGTTGCGGCAGGTTGCGGCCGACACAGTTTGACATTTCAAACAACCAATGGCAGCTGTACTAAATTTAAAATTGACAGCTGTTTGAATTTTGTACTAATCTGATTGGCTCTTTTGATGTGTCGCTGGCGACACTCGCTGTTCTGAGAACGGGGCTATTGTTTGACTTGAAAGTTGAACAACTAAAGCCCCGTTCTCAGAACTGCGACTGTCGCCAGCGACACGACAAAAGAACCAATCAGATTTGTACAAAATTCAAACAGCTGTCAATTTTAAATTTAGTACAGCTCCCATTGGTCGTTTGAAGTGTCAATCAGTGTCGCTGTCGACACGACGCAGTTCTGAGAACGGGGCTTTATCACCATTTCGAGTGTTTAACGACGAAAAGGTCATCTGTCCGTAGCGTCTTTTGTCAGAATATTCGTATATTTAGTGTATTATATACCAATATTGTACGCAGTTTTGAAACTGATAATTAAATAAATCATATTAATGTTAACTAACCATAATAAATGATAGAATATCACTAAATTTAAATTGCCCCCCGTATGGTTGAAAACAACAAATTGATATTTGATTACTTATAGATTACCACCTATATACAAAATGACAGGAAGACCTGGAATATGGCGCCCAACTTGATTAGACCTTCTGCGCATGTTGACGCTCATTCTCTATCCCTTCTATTTCTCTGAATCATACGATATTTCTCTTCATTCCCCTCACCGCCACAATCCATAGCCCATAGCGACAAAGTTCTGAGAACGGGACTTTAGTTTTTGGTTGTTTACATTTAAAATTGACACTTGACAGGTGTTTGAATTTTGTTTAAAGTAATGACACTGTAGTGGATAATTTTAACAAAAGTTATGTGAATTGTGAATTTTTACAAAGATTTTTACCAAGCTAACGTATTTTTATTATAATAATTTAGCTTTAATTATCCAAGTGCTAAATTATTATACAGATCTTATTAAAATGATACACGAATTACTGTTCAATTTGTGGAATATTCCAGGGAATATAATAGACACCGAAGATAATGATGTAAATTAAAAATATAACTGTCTGAAAATATTTTAAATTGTACGCTTTCAGTGGACACATTTATTTGAATTGCCTCAATTTTTGCATCCAGGAGAAGAAGAGTTATTAAAACTGATTATAAACATTGGTGTTGATTACCACAAAATTACATTGTTTACAAATGAAATATTGAATCAAAATTTTGTACAAGGTACAAGTATATAAAATATATTTAACCAATAACTAGTATAGCTAGTATTTATAAATTAAGGTGGATCAGATGATGTGGAAACATTTTCTTCAAAAATGCCAACTGGTTTGTATCTTAAGGCATTTTGTCATGGGATAAATAAGGTTTTGGAAGATTACAGAAAAGAAATTTTGAAACTAGAAGATAAATTTTTGGAATTTCCCCAGTTATCATTAACATATGTACTGAGCTGTGTAGATAGATACAAAAATTTATTTGGAGTTTTAAAGCTAATGGTTGGGAAAATTAACAGCGAGAATTTACATGGTTACCTCTTATTAAATGGTTTGCACAAATATATAAATTGTGGTGTCGATCAAATTGAAGATGCCGCAAAAATGTAAAATATTTTTTTAATTAAATTAAGCTATTCTTTCAATATAATTATTACTTGCAGAATAATAAAGTCGGTAAACACAGTGTTCTATCAACATTTGTGTAACTGGATAGTGGGAGGTGATCTTGTTGATCTATACAATGAGTTTTTTATATGTGATGGAAAAGTACCCGATGAAAACTTTTTATATCCAGATCAGTTATCAGAGAGCTTAGTATATTTAGCAGTATGTAGGTATATTTAATTTGACAATTTCAATTGATTGGGAATTTTAGAAAAAAACAAAAATTAGAAGGCCACCACCAGTGAGGAAATTCTTTATTAATTGGGACATGGTACCAAGTTTTATTACTGAAGAATTAGCAGAAACTATTTTGTTTATGGGAAGAATAGTTTGGATTGTAAGAAATGATCCGAAAAAAGAAAAGTGTTGTGAAGACTATCAAATAAAATTCCGAAGGGATATATGGGAAGAAAAGGATACTGAATATTATATGAAAATCCAACAATTAGGAAATGACACATTCAATGGGGTGGAATTTAGAAAAACAATTGAAGAATGTAGAATAAAACTAACAAAAGTATCTCTGAAATTCCAAAGCTTCTATAGTTATTTATATTTAATTTTTAGTACCTTTGGGCAATAATGCTAGATGAGGGCAACCTTATCCAACATTTAAAGCTTATCAGAGACTATTATGCTTTGGGTAGAGGCGAACTCTTCCAGCAATTCCTCACTGTTTCTGAAAATCATTTAAAGGAAGCATCATCCCACAGAACAATTCAACACATCAATTTTATTTTCCATGAAACAGCCAGAAAAATATATGGAGAAAATGATAAAAGCTACTTGAGATTTGAAATGACATCATTAAATGGAGCAGATTCAAGTATTTTGAAAACAATTAGTTAATAAATCTTTCAATAATGTGTTTTCTAGAGGTAAATCCTTTTCAAATGCTTCAACTGAATTTTGAAGTGGAATGGCCATTGCATATTATTTTTCATCCTGAAGTAATGGATTTCTATAACAAATTATTTTGTTATCTTTTAAGACTGAAAAAAACCCAAATAAGTTTGTATCAGTTATGGTCAAATCATACATTAAGTAAAAGCAAAATGTAAACAACTTACCTTAGTTTCTAATGACATAAATAATGGATGTTTCTAGTGATCGAAGGGTCTGGACACTTCGTCAAAACCTTATGTTTTTAGTGAATAATTTACAGTACTATATGCAGGTGAATGTGATAGAAGCACAATTTTCCATTTTACTGAAGGCAGTTGAAAATGCTAGTGAATTTGAGGACATTATTAAAATTCATCATGAATTTGTCACAAATCTGTTAGCAAAGACTTTTATACTAACTCCAGAAGAGGTAATTTGTAATTATTAGAATCGTCGCAACTAAAGAAAAGGCCCAGATCGTCATCAATGACGAGACTACATAGCGATCGCCCCTTTTATGCAATTAGAAGGTTTGGTGATCTTAGATATTTTTATTCTAACGTCAACAAATTATTTCTCGCGGCACTGTCTAACGCCGAGGGGGCAAAATATTGATGGCGTTCCTGGCTTTTTCTTTAGTTGCGACCATTTGACTAATTGAGATAATGTCTATGTCACTATTTTAGTCTCCGAAAGGAAGTAGTAAGCACAGATTATATCAAATGCCTGCTCTGCAACACAATGTACCCAGCAAGGTAAGTATATCAGAACATATTAAAAATTATGTGTTAATTTTTATTACATTATTAAGTTAATTTTTGTAGGTTTATAATGTAGTTACAAAGCTACTAGAATTATGTAATAAATTTTGCCTTATGGCATCTACTTGGGAAACCAATTTAACTGAATCAGACCTTGAAGAACTGGAATGTTTTCAAAAAAGATCTGATGTTGCTATAGAATCTTTACTTTATGTTTTGTATAGTCTGCATGAGAAAGTCAGTGGTAGCCATTTACTTCAGTTATTACTTCATTTAGACTTTAACAGATATTTCAGCAAAAATAAAACAGACATGAACTTAACCAGTGCCCTTAATACTTATTAATATTTTTGTAAACAGAAAAATTGCTATTAAATAATTCCATTATAATTTTAATCTTGTTTCATATAAAATGGAACCTAAGCATAAAAAAAATAATTATGAGTAAAAATATGAGGCCAATATTTATGAAAATTATAATGAACAAAACTAATCCTAGCACAAATCAAATTAAATAAATATTGTATTCATTAAATTTTAAGGAAACTTTTCTTTTATATCGTATATCGTTTATATATAAACTTAATACAGTCTGCCCAGCGAATCGGGGAAGATTTCGACAGATGACATCTTAAAAATGACATAAAACAATTTGACTGTGAATTAAAATGACATACAACTGTCAGGGGTTCTCCCATTGGGCAGGTTGTTCATTATGGTAGCAACAACACAAATGTTTTTATCATTATAATTGAAAATATATTTTACTTGCTCTTCTTTATTACTTTCATAAATAGTACCATATCTAAAAAATACACATTGTTAAGTCTCTTACTGAACCTAGTATTTTGAGCAACTAACTTATAAAAACAACTAAAACAATAACCAGCATAATCCACATCCAACATTTCCAAGCTTTTTTAGAATGTTCAGCTAATTTTGTTGACTCCGTTACTAGATTTGTTAAGTTCTTATCACTTAGTTGCGTAGAATTACTTGCAACCTAAAATATATATGTGTCACCACTATGTAAAATTTACCAATAGTTGAAATTGATGCCTTTCAACATGGATGAATCTTGGTCAGAATTTTTCTATTAGCATATAAGGATATTTTGCCAACTAAAAAAAAAAACAAAATGTTTTTGCAAATTGAAGTTTTCAAAATGTCTTTAATCATCATGATTTTATTCAATTTTTTGAAAAAAACTATTAAGGTACGCGCACACTGACCAGAGCCGCACGAATCGCACTTTTTTTTCTTGTCGCGCACACTGAGCCGCACCGAACGCGCCGCATTATTCGCTATTTTGTTTCTTTTTGCCCCTAATACACCCGTATTTGCCAATCGAATTTCTCATCAGCCGCATCCGGAGTCCTGTCTGCGGTGATAAGCGTGTTTTTTTTAATATTTTTCGACAATGAATGACAACGAACAGGAAATAATTATAAGCTCCTTGCTAATAGAAGAAGAAGGAAAAAAAAAGTTATAGGTTCACAATATTTGCAAAAATCCACATTATTTCCATATTTAATTGAGAATGAACTAAAAATTTTTCAATAGGAGCCATGAAAAATTTGCGAACTTTCTTAGCATATTGAATTTCTAATCTCCTCTTCAGCTACCTACGTAGAGTGGAAGGAATTGCGTGTGATGTCAGCAGCACTAGCCGCATTTACCGAAAATCATTCTAGCCCAACAAAGCTGGCCGCATTTTCGTCGATGCGACTCGTGCGGCTCCGGCTAGTGTGCGCACCTTCATTGAAAGTAACACAAACAATATTTTTCTTCAGTCGATGCGGCGCGCGCGGCTCTGGTCAGTGTGCGCGTACCTTTAAAGTTATCAAAAAGGTCCCGAATTCTTTTTAAATTTAAAAAATAGTACCTAATACCCATTGATTTTTTTTGATTATTAAAAAACTATTTTTTTAATTTTTTTTCTCAAAATATACTCCTTTTGTAGCTCCAAATATCCCCATTAAAACAAAGTCTGTACTATTTTTGGACTATAATAATTTTCAAGCTATTAAATAACATGAAAAATTATGAAATTTTGAAATTCCCATTTTTCAAAGAAAATTTTAATTTAATTCCTTTGTTAGAACAGCCTTATATGATAAAAGAAAATTTCTGACCAAAATTCATTGAAATTGAAAATATCAGTTTCAACAATTGGGTTTCAGATAGAATGACCCATAATTTAAATTTAAAGTGATAAACCTAATTTCCAAAAGTAATATATTACTTCAGTGTCCTTTTTAATAATCTTGTTGGCTAATTCGGACTGTTCTTTTAATACTTTAGTGAATTCTAACATTTCATCAGTTATTTTCTTTTGAATATTTTCATGATATTTGATAACTTCATCTAAATCTTCTGCATTTATGTTACTTTGGGTTATGTTTCTTTGTCTTAAGCCTAAATACAGTTCAAAATACATTAGAATGAAAACCCTTACAACTAAATGATTATTATACAAACCTAGTAAATCTTCTCTCATTGTTAAAGGATCATTAAATTCATCATATTTACTAGCTGTTTTAATACCCACCAACAATTTAATATTTCGTATTCTCTTTTGATAATCCTTAATAGCTTCTAATGATGTGCTAGAATAAAATAACTAAATCTAATTTCCAAGGTTCTATAATTATTATATTTACTTTGGGTGTGTCTTGATCTCCTGCACCATATCTTCTAAAGTATCAACATATTTTTCAAAACGTTCATCATCTTTCTGATTTTTGCACATAAGTTCACATCTTGCAAGCAGTCTTCTCAAATTTATTTCATGTCTTGAAAGTCCCATCACCTTCGTGTATTCTAATTCGATTACAGGAATGTCTTTTTATTGTACACTACATACCGTTATGAAAGCAACGAGAGCAAGTGCATCACAAAGTGCATAGACAAGCAAGTTTAATTTATTTCTTTTTACTGACGTGTCGGACGTGTTTCTTTTTATTAAACATAGGTTAACTTGTTAACCAGCTAAACAGCTGTTAACTATCAAGGAGTTAACCACAGAGTCACAATAGAAAATTTTTTTAAATGTTCCCCCTCTTCCATAGAATAACTAACTGCCCTCTTCCTTCAAAAATTTCCGGTTCATTTGCACTACTTCATCTAATCATATAAAAAAGTAAATTTTTAGTTAGCGTCTCCCTTTTGCGGACAGGCTAGCGATTCTGTAAACATATTTTCATTTTCTGTCTAGTGACTCATCAATCGTATACAAATAGCATAGGCTAGACAGGAAATTTCTTGCTACGGAGTTTACAGAATCCCACCGCAGGGCTAATCTGGACGGGGCCTATTTTTGGGGCGGGATTCGAACCGCGGTCCAAGGCCATATCATGGTTAGTGGCCTACCGACATAGCGAGTGTTTAAAATCGACTCATACTCACTATATATATATATAAGATATCCGATCTCGTCCGGCCGCAAACCGGCGTGAATGAGCAGTTTGTGTGTCAATAAAATTTTACACTCTTGCCATTTGCCATGGAACAACAAACAGCAGGACACAGATTTCCAGACGGTCACCTGTCCATCCACTAGTATCGTCTTCCGCCACTTAACTTCGGGTGATCCTAGTTAATTATTTTATGGGGTTATCTATCAAGAACCGGTATTTCGACGTAGCTAGGCCGTTGCCCCTATAATATATTTGAAGATTTTCAATTTCAATCGTTTTACGCCCATAACCATCCAAGCTCAATGTAACTGACACTTTTTATCCTTTACCCCATTTCTAGGCCTGATAGTCCTAGCAGCTTAGGCCTTTAATTAAAATTCTGTAAACTCTACACTTCCACTGTGGAATGTGGAGTTCCCTTTGTTCCACACTACGGCCACATGACACATGACGGCCACACTCACCACTTATAACTCTTAGGGTGCAGCCACACTATCCTAAAAACGGCGTATCGGCGTAACGGCGTAACGACCTTGAATAGATTTCCAGTAATTCTATTGGCTGAAATTTTTGACAGATGAATTTGACAGATAAAATTTCTGACAGATGAATGTTTCAGCCAATAGAATTACTGGAAATCTATTCAAGGTCATTACGCCGTTACGCCGATACGCCGTTTTTAGGATAGTGTGGCTGCACACTTACAGACCATACAGACTCACTTTGAATTTAGTGTGTTCTGTGACTGAATTTTTTGAAGAAAGGAAAAAAATAGACCTATAAAATACTGTGATGTTTTGAAAATGATTTTTTTAGTTAAACATACAGGACTTTTCGTACGTCAACCGAATGGTCGAACTAGTTTGAAATATTTTTCTAAAACGATAGCCGGCGACCGATTTAAGCCTTTAGCCGGAAATACACTTACGGGAAGGTTTTTACTATATTTAAACAATTTCAACTCCATAGAAGAACCAGCAAAACTTGACTCCTGCAGTCTCATAAATACACTTAAATACCACCCTCGGGATGTTGTGAAACTTGAAACAACAGGAGTAGTAAAAGCCCTTACGCTTTTGCCTGATAGAAAATTTGTTCAAAATAAACAAGATTACACTAAATTGTTAAATCTTATTGATGGAGAATGCTGTGATAGGTTAGCAAGTCAAGATGTTACTGGTATCATTAGGTTGTTACATTCATTTATGTCAGCTAACCCAAACCGTTTAACAGAGACTAGATATTTTAGTCTTGCTCTAGATGATCTGATAAAAACATGTGATAAACTTAGCAAAAACGAATTAGTACAGGTAATATTTTTTATAGGACTTTTAAAAAAATGTTCTAAAGCACAATATATGTTAAGAATTTGCCTAAATAAGTTTAATAAACAATTCATTAATGAGCTGACACAAGAGGATTTATGCATAATATGTAACTCGACATTTAAAACTAGTACAAAAATAAAAAATAAGGGACTCTTGGAAAAAGTAAAGTGCCACATAAGTCAGAATCTTTTCATTTTGAACGATCCTGCTATCTTTGTAACACTTATCAAAACTCTAAGACATAATAGGTATCAAGATGAAGATCTATTAAACACAATAACATGTACAATGTTTTTTAACAAAACTATAAATGATTATTCATTTACTGCTATAAGTCATGTTCTTGCTCTTTATTCTGATTATCTATATCATCATGAGACAGTTCTAAAAATATTATCAGAAGAATCAATAAGAAAATTAAAGAGTAATCAATATAAAGCTAAAGATACATACTTAATAGACCAACCTAGGACCAAGGACATAAAAAGGTTTTTGTGGGCTCTTAGTAACTTGAATTACAAACTAGCCAAAGAAGATATAGAAACTGTTATTATCCCTCAAATTGTTAATAGGATAAAATCTGGGGAGTGTGAAAACAATCCAGGATCCTTTGTTGATATTGCTTTATATTTATGGATGATGCACTATAAGGCTTATAATCTTATTAAACATGTTCTTACAAAGGAGAATATAAGTGTGATGAGAGGTATGAAGGAAATATACTAATTGTAATAAAAATGAATCAAATTTCATATCATCATCATTTTCTTTATACAGTCCAAAGCCTAATAATTATTATACTCTCACTTTTTTACTTATAATTGTGTTAATATAATTATATTTCATATATATTCACTATTATAAATTTCCATCATTTCCATATTTTCAAATTAATAATCTTTTCAGCCACTAATCCAACAAGTATAAGAAGTATGAATCTCTTGCTTGTCTGTATATTCTATGAGGATGCAGAGTTATATACATCTTTAAATTTATGTCCTGACAACCGCAACAATTATGACATGAATATACAACTGCAGAAAAGACCTCTTTTAAATGAAATTATGGCAAATTTGAAATTAATATCTCTGGAAAATCATATCGATAAATATCAGAGTCAGTGTCAAGTGCCATATATAAATATTATTGGCATTACAGGTTATCATAAAAAAGTTTATAAATCAATAAATATAGAGATTCTTGATGATTACACTTGCTTGAAAAATACTGATAGTCTTCCCACAGGACTTATGGAGTTGAAACTTAGAATTCTGGAGAAATGTGATGAAGCCTTGATTACGGTAAATTGTATTTTTTTGGTTTTTAGCTGTTTAATAGTTGTCATTTGTACATTTTACAGGTATAACATTTTGGATAAGGTCTAAATAGAATTATATATGTATAGCTTTAAATTTTTGTGAATTTTTATATTGTGTGTAAATGTTTAGCTTAGTTTTTATTAACCTGTATCGAGTATTTTACTTTAAATTAAAAAAAGACATAGTTTAATGTTACTCTAAAAGCATTGATACTGTAATTATATAATATTTGGTTTTCAGATTGAGGCATCTGATGTTATAGACTGTAATAACAATGAATTGCAAGAAATTTTAAAGGATGAAGTATCTTTAGTTTGTTAATATAATTTTAGTTTAATAACTATGACAAAATGATATTTTAACTAAATTGTTTTTTTCTAATGTAATATTTATGAGAAAGTTTGTGAAGAGATGTTCTCTATTAATTTTTTCGATTTTTATAATAATTAGTTCCTATTAAATATTTGTAAACATATTCATTCCTTTATTTGCTCAAAAATAACTTTCTCATAAATTTCAACCAGAAGTATATTAGGGATAAACGTTTTATATATTGATAAAATAATACAAATTCGAATTATTTTATCAATTTATCTTTTATTGTACTTTGTTTTTTAAGAATATCTGATATCTACTTCAATGTTATTTACTGTAATTGCACCTAAGTATGGTATTATACAATTTTACATAGTCACATCAATTTTTTAACTATTTTCATATGGAATGTATGTGATTTGATTTTTAATTATATATGTACATCTATTTAAAATGTTAAAACAATAAATGGTTTGTATTTGTATTAATGCAGTTTTTATATTGAAAACATGAATAATTTTGTCATCCTTCAGGCCTATATGTAACAGCGTATTATAAAAAGTAAAAATTAAACTGAAAAAGAATAAATAAAGTTTTAAGTTAGAAGACACTATATAACTCTTGACTAAGAAAAAAAATAACTAAAAAGATTAACATTAAAATATTAAGCTTTCATAAGAAAGTTATAAATAAAGTGAACCATCAGCTGGACCTAAATAATGCAAAGAAATTAAAATAACATCTATGATAGTCCAAACTCCCAGTCCTCCAAAACTGAATAATTTACCTATACCCTCCTGCCAATGACCCAAATAAAATCTGTCTGCTCCAAAACCCCCTAGAGTTATACTAAGAGCCAAGGCTGTTGACCATCTATAACCACCAGTCCAGTTACATTTTACTTTTTTGTTAAAAGTACGGTGCCCTAAAAGTTATAATTGCTAAATATCTATTGCATTTAATATTAAATAAAAAAATGCACCTAAGCAGAGTATATCTTCAGAAACAGTACAATTTGTTATGTAAATATCCCTAGGAGATGCAACAGACTCACAAGTGGCTTTCATTTCACAAGTATGTTCCCAATGTTCTGTTTGGTAGCAATATCTACATAAATATTTCTTTTTGAAGATTTGTTCTCCCTGCAAAAAAAAACATTTTGTAAGCATTATGATATTAATGTTTATCAAAAACTTACTCTACATTTTACTTGAGACTTGGTATTGCATTCAGCTATGTTGTCTTCCCCATATGTACAGTTTTCTCTTAATTTGCAATCTAAACATTGTATTGGAAGATGCCTGCATTCTAAATCTGGAGGACAAGTTAGTACAAAATTTACCTGCAATTACATTTAAGTGTGAATAATATACATTTATTTTAATTTTAATTGTGATTTTAATCTTAATATATCCACTCGTATCCTTATAAACCACATATTTTAAGTCAAAATGTTCTATGTTAATTTAACTTCTGTCAAATGAACGTAAAATGCAAAATATGACATGGAAAAATGAGAAAAGCAAACACATATTTTCTTCTCCTGAGAAATTGCAAGCTCCAAGTCGAATAAAAATATATGTCAAAATGACATTATAAACATATTATAAAAATAAAAAATGTTATAAACAAAATGAAGCTGAACATAATTGTTAAATTATTTTCACTGGTAAAATGAACACATCAAAGATAATTTCGATGCACATAAGATTTATATAATTTTAGGCATTTTGCATATTAGGAGCGGTTTTTCACAATCTAAGTAGTATAAATTGGTTCAATGATGTACTAAGTACTGGTTTATATGCTTATATCTTAATACTGAGCGTGAGCTTGGTTGTATTTATAACTAAAAATTACATAGATGAAACATTGGATTACATCTTCATGTTATTAGGAGCAATATTAAATTTTACTGGTAAAAAACAATACTAATATTTATATTTCAATGACATTCAATTTTTAGGCGGTATTATGGCTATTATATATTACACAGATACTTTTAAAAGATATGAATATAAATCTCAAAAATATTTACTTATTGTTGGCATATGTGCAATATTAGCTGCAATATGTATGACAGCAGATTTACTGAAAAATATTTTTAAGGTTATTTAATCATTTAATGTAAGACAGGTAAAGTATTTTTGTAAAGTGAATTTAAAAAAATATGTAAAACTGTGAAACTATTTTTGAATTTTTAGTACATTTGTATAGAAATACTTGCAAAGGCAATACAAAATTTGGTACCAAAATTTTTATACCAGCATCAATAGTTATTCTATCTATTTTAATATTATTATATTCGGTATGTACTTTTATTTTTATTTTACTTCATATTACACCATGACTGTTATTATTTACTTTTTAATTAACACCTGAATGGCTAAAACCACCTTGTGGGCTGTTCATCATAAGTAACTAAAAATCATTTAGTAGCAGAGTTTGTTTTAAGTTGAACTTTATCTTATCTATCTCTCTATCAGTTTGAGCAAATTGAATTAAATATTTAAATACTGTGTACGCGCCAATTAACGGTTTTATGTAGTTAAGAAATATATCTTATAAAAGTTGAGATATTTTATTGTCTGCTAAAGTTCAGATGAAATTATAATATGGAAAATAGCTTACTGCTTGGTTTGTATTTTTAGGTCTGCTTGCATCAGTTGTATTATGTTCTTCGTTTGATGAAGGTATCTCATTATTTACTAAAAATAATTACATCAAATTTACAAATTATTCACATATCTGGATCTGGAATTTTATCAAAATTCTTACCTGTGTTTATATTGTTGACGAGAAACGTAAGTAAAAGAAGAACTGCTTGTTTTCTACTTATGTGAATACATTGCATTTTGCCATTAAAACAATTTGATCTGTTTACTTTTCATATTTTATTTAATCTCTTATCTGTAAAATGATCAAAAAAATACAAAACCATGACAAAACCAATTGCAAAACCACAACCTCAACCTCAACAATAAAATTGCCTATGTCAAGTCAAGTCTGTGGTCTGTGTCACGTGTTACGTCTGTTTTGCCCAGTTTTGCCCTTTGCCCTTTGAATAAGGTTTTGCCGTGGTTTTGATATGTATATGTTGGTTTTGCCCAAGTGTTGCCTACATTATTTTTTTAATAGTTGCCTACTTTAGGATCAATCAGGATGATTTTTCTGAATCATTGGCGTGCTTAGGACCGTTTTACAATCAAATTTATTAGATTTAATTTTTTTAATACATAGATAACATATTTTTAGAGAAATGTCGGTGGTTGAAAATATACTTGTAACAGGATTTGGACCATTCGGAGAGCACAAGGAAAATGCTAGCTGGGAGGCGGTATCCTCCCTTCCAAATGAAATAAAAGGCTTCAATGTAGTAAAAAAACAAATTCCAGTTATTTATACGCATGTTGAAGTAAATATCCCAAACTTATGGCAAGAGTATAATCCAAAGGTAGTATTTCAAGACGAAGCTACTACTAAATGGTAAGTTACTTATACAATATGAACTATATACGTTCTGTTTCAGCTTGTAGTTCATGTTGGTGTGTCGTCGTATACTAATGCTATTCAAATTGAAACACGGGCTAATAAAAAGGGTTACGAAAGAAAGGATATCTTAAACGTGTGCCCTACAAATAGTCAAGCGAATCCTTGCAACGAGGAAAGTAATAACGATTGCATTGAAACCAGTTTGTGCGCATCGACAATATGTAATCATTTAAAAGAAGCTTTAAATATTCAAACGGTTATTTCTAGGGATGCCGGAAGGTATAATAGACACCTTTTGCTTTTTATAGTAAAGTTTATAATGAAATTATAATTTTAGATATTTATGTGAATTTATTTATTACACGTCTTTAAATATAGACAAAAAAAGGACATTGTTTATCCATGTGCCGCCAGTAGATAAGCCTTATACGAAAACGGAATTAGCTCATGCTCTTGAGGAAATTATAAAATGTGGGTTGGAATTAGTTTTCAAGAATGAAGAAAATAATTATTCTTCTACTGCTGCTACAATTTACAAAAATGGACGTGCAGCAGCTGTATTTTGAAATTTTACATTTTGTAGATTTATTAGAGATGTATATAAATAAAAAGTAGATTAATATAGTAATATATCATGCTCTTATATTCTTACAAGATTCTTACTGACACTTTCATCTACAAACAAAAAATATATTTAATTTATAATAGGCCAAATATGTGTAAAAATAAAAATTTACTGTCAAAGATTTTTAGAAAATAATATTATCTGATATCATTATTTGAATTGTCTTTTTGTTTGTCTTAAATATAATAAGGAAAATTTTCATTACCTACGTCTATGTTTTATTAGCTCCATCTACGGTCAAATTTTATACTATATAGTTTAGACTTTGAAATATTGAGGTTATGCAGGTTGAGGTTATGTAGGTTTGTTTTGTTTTTTCTGACTCGTCATCTCTGTTCTGTATCTGTATAAAATATCAGAAAATATCTTGTTTATCTAATTAAATTGAGAATAAATTAAATTTTTGATTTATTATCACCGGTCCGGTATCTTATCATATTTTGTATCACACTTGACGAAAACTCATGATTTTATATTAGTGTATGGTTTTTCTTCAAATAATATTAGTCATACTTCAAATATGAGTTTTGAGGAGGTATTAGATAAATTAGGAGAAAATTCGATAGAAACTTCTAAGGAAACAGTTAGAATTTTGTTAAAGATTGCTGATAATATATTAAAGCAACCGGAAAACGTCAAAATTCGAACATTACAGAAATCAAATCATATCATATCGAAAAAAGTGCTTCAAGTTAATGGAGGCAGTCTATGTTTAAGGCTTATGGGCTTTGTTGAAGTATATTGGTTAAGGGTGTATGGAATAGATTAGGTATTTATAGTAACTACTTTTTAGAATGGTACATGTTTTACCCTTCCAAATGTAGATAATTTATCATCAGTTCAAAGTACTAAAGATGTCTTATTAATTTGGTTGGAATCAGTTCATTCCTCACCCCAGAATGAGGATGTAGAAGACAAGCTTAATAGAAACAAAGTAAGCCGTTTTTAAGCAATATTTAGTGTAGTAGTGTAGCAGAAACATTTATTTATATTTTAGGAAATATCATGTTTAACCAATGTCTCTAGTAAAAAGATTGATAGTCAAAATTCAGTAAAAATCAAGCCGGTTGCACTGCCACCATTAGTCCCAGTAATTATATTTTTTATCAAAAATAAAAATAATTTCATTGGCATTTTAGTTATACAAGAATCATTTTCTTCATAGTATTGAAAGTCATTTTCATAATGCTTTACAATATGAAAATAAGGATTTACAAAATAGAGCTAAAAGTTTGATTCCACTACATACCCTTGAAGAAGGTGCACTGAGAAGATTTAGAATGCTTCAAAAAAGAATTAAAAAGGGTAAAATTAGTTATTACTGTATAAAGAAAATTAATTATTTATAAGACAATTTTAGACAAACTAAATAATATTGATATATCTATACAAGATATGTTGATATTAGAACTTCTAGAATGGTTTAAAGAAGATTTTTTTACTTGGGTCAATTCACCAGAGTGCGAGCACTGTGGTAGTGAAACAAAATTTTCCCATATGTCCACTGATAAAAATCTATTAGTATATACAAATAGAGTTGAACTCCATCGATGTGTATCATGTCGCCAGTTTACACCATTTCCTAGATATAATGATTTAAACATTCTTTTGGAAACCAGAAGAGGCAGATGTGGTGAATGGGCAAATACCTTTACTTTGCTGTGTCGCGCTTTAAATTGGGATGCTAGATTTATTATGGATGAGACTGATCATGTTTGGACAGAGGTTTTTTTTTTAATTTTTTCAGAGAATACCTTAGCTACACAGAAACGACAGTTTGCATGAGTAAACAATATAGTTCATTATCTCTTCTGTTTTGAGAATTACCAAAAATTTTTAAATAGAGACAGAGAGAGAAACAGGATATATACGAAATGTTAATATTCACAATCCAAAATCATTTTTGAGTTTACAAAATGTAATTCAAAAACGTGTGACTTGCGTGTGACGCATATAACGTAAATATGTTTTTTTAAATGTAACATCCTGCTTTTTATTTTATTTTTAGATTGTGCGTACAATTCTATAACTTTTTATAGACTGTGTGCCTCTCAAAAGTGGCTCACCCCTATAACTTTTAATTTTTTCAGAAAAAAAAACGATATTTGGTATGTTAGTATATGACAAATTGGGATTGATTGAAGTATTCAATTTTTTTGGTCATTTAGGTACTGTTTCACCGGAAATGACTACAACTTTTGATTTTTAAATAACATCCTTGGTATATTTTTACTTTATTCAATAGAAAATTATTTTAATTTTATATGTATATTCAGTAGGTCTGAGAATTATCTGAAGTTGTTATCTATTTTTTATACTCCTAAGTGATAAGGGTAGTCCACCCCAATTTTTTTTTATTTTTTGAATAAAATTTTTTATTTTAATTTTTTTATGATGTGGTATTAAAAAATACATATAACCCTAAATTTTGACTCTTCTACCTTCAACCCCTATTTTTTAAATGCGATAATAGTAACTCAATAATTTTCAACGCCGGTCGATAACTGATCAATTATCACTTGATCAGTTTTTTTGTACTAAAATAATCCTAGAAATAATTTATATGGCAAAATAACGTTTGCCGGGTCAGCTTATAGTATCGTAACTGATCAATTATCACTTGATCAGTTTTTTTGTACTAAAATAATCTTAGAAATAATTTATATGGCAAAATAACGTTGCCGGGTCAGCTTTATCTATCTATTACGTGTGAATTTTAGGCATATTATTACTTCAAAAACTAATTTTTTACATTAAGGGTTTTTACATGATTAAGGGGTTTTTACATGATAATTAAAATTTGAGAACTGAAATCTTTAAAATTATATAGTCTAAAAATATGACAAACTAAAAAATTTGTTTCAAAAAAAATTCGCCTATAACGCTTCTGTATGGTTAGGTAATACTTTAGTAATTTTATAATATTGCTTAATAATTAATTCTAGGTATATTCATTTGCTAGAAGAAAATGGCTACACTGTGATTCTTGTGAAAATATATGTGATAAACCTTTGATATATGAGTCAGGTTGGAAGAAGAAAATTTCTTATGTTATCGCGTATTCGGGAGAAGAAGTTCAAGATGTTACTTGGAGATATACTAGTCATCATAAAGATATTTTGAAAAATCGAAATAAATGCACTGAACAGGAGTTAATAGAGGCTTTATTTAAACTAAGAGAAATTAGACAAAAAGATTTTTCGGAAGCCAGAAAGAAATTTTTAAATAAAAGATTACTTGACGAATTGGTGGAGTTCATGACAGAACGGTAATGTATTTTAATAAAAATTAATAATTTAGTTAAAAACTTAAAGAAATGTTTGGTTAAGTATTCTCGCTATGACCACAGATTATACAAATTATAAATTTTGTTTTTACTTTATAGTTCTTGTGGTTCCAATTTTTGGAATCGGGCACTAGTTAGGTTACTAGCGCACATAGCACGCCCACTTATGGCTTCTAAAATTGTGCACAGCGCCTTACCGGCACAGTTATTAGAGAGATATCGGAAAACCGAATAGTGTCATGCAGTATTTACGCGTACCTTATCATGATTACGATATGCGCGAGTCAATTTTTAACGCAGCACCCGCTAATAACGTTACCGCCTGACGTAATTTGCGGATCAATTACACCAAGCGCTATTTCTAAATAACGTTTAAAAATTGCTTAAATGGGCATGTGTGGGTACATTTGACAACCGGGGCCGGCCGGCAAGCGGCGAGATCTTTTATTTTAGGTTATGTTTGAATTGTTTTGAATTATTACTTTAGTTTTATTAGGTAATTTGATATTTAAGTAGCAGGGATTATATATATATATATATATATATATATATATATATATATATATATATATATATATATATATATATATATATATATATATATATATATATATATATATATATATATATATATATATATATGTATATCCTGCTATATATATATATATATATATATATATATATATATATATATAACTGGCTATATATATATATATATATATATATATATATATATATATATATATATATATATATATATATATATATATATATATATATATATATATATATATATATATATATATATATATATATATATATATATATATATATATATATATATATATATATATATATATATATATATATATGTTCCCGTCATCCCTTTGTGGGACATAGGGCTTCTAAGAGATGTTTCCATCTGATCCTATTCTGAGCTGTCTGTTTGATCTCTCCCCATGTTTTTCCGACCTCTTGGGCTTCAGAGGTTACTGTTCTTCTCCAGGTATTCCTTGGTCTTCCCCTGGCGGCACGTCTTCCCTGTGGATTCCATTCAAGTGCCTGTCTAGCGATATCTCACTGGGGTCTGTGCAAAATGTGCCCAATCCAGCCCCACTTTCTTTTCTTAATTTCGATATCTATTCGATTTTGTGATGTTCTTCTCCACAGTTCTTCGTTGTTAATTTGATTGGGCCAGAAAATTCTCAATATTCTTTGAAGACACTTGTTAACAAACACCTGTAGGCGATCCATGAGACCACGCGTAACCTTCCATGTTTCGCATCCATAAAGCAAAATAGATTTGACATTGCTATTGAAGAGCTGGACTTTAGTTTTTTTGCTATATATAGAGGCGTTCCACACAGATGTAAGCGTGCCAAAAGCTCTTTGTGCCTTCAAAATCCTTTCCTCTATATCTTTCTCTGTGCCCCCATCGCTGTGAACCATACTTCCCAGGTACTGAAATTCATCAACTCTTTCGATGGCTCGGTTGGAGAGGTATATATCTTGGTTGTTGGGCGTATTTGACCACATTTCTTTGGTTTTCGCCACGTTGATTTGAAGACCAACATTATTAGCTTCCTCTTGGAGTCTAAGAAGTTTTTCAGACATATCCGAATGTGAATGGGAAAAGATGCATAGATCGTCTGCGTAATCCAGGTCTTTTAGCCTGCTTAACAGTCCCCATTGTATCCCTAGTGGTTCTTTAAATGCTCTATTTAGTGCTACATCCAGAACGATGTTAAAGAGTAGCGGCGAAAGTATACACCCCTGTTTTACACCTACTGCAATAGAAATTTTCTCCCCCACTTGACCTTTATGTAGTAGCAGGGATTAGTTTTAATTAAATAAATATGGCCCAAAATATGGATTCCACCTCTTCCAATATTAAAGAACCTATAAAGAGGCGTAGGTTTACAGCAGATGACGTCTTAGCCCTTCTAAGAGAATTTGTTGCTTGTTGCCCTAAACCCACTGGCAGACGTTGAACAATGAAGCACTGGAAATAAGCACTTTAGCCCCATTTAGTTTTAAAATACCTAGTAAACAAAACAAGTTTTAAATTCAAAGTTAGGTGAAGTTTAAATAGCGGGCGCGACGCGAATAGAATTCTTTCCGATCCGATAACTATAAATAGTCGTAGCGGTAGAACCCAAATACACGAAAAACGTTTCAAATAATGATAGAAGTAAACCACTTGGTATAGGTGGTATATACACATAAACAATCGATTTGACCTGCAGCACCTTATTGCAAGTGGAGGCAAATTCAAAATGGCGGCGTTTTTTAGAATAACTGTTTTTTTTTGCTTTTTTTTTGTTTTTTTTTAAGTTTTTTATTCGATTAAATTAATAAGTGTATTTTGAATTCAAATGCTAATAATAATAGGATCAATACTACATTAAGTATATAAAATTCAAAATGGCGGAATTTAGTTCTGTATTAATTAGTATAGTTGCGAGCTAATTCTCTATCACCTACGCGCGAGATATAAGTTTTAGTTCAAATCAAAAGTTTATTACAAGCAGCAGCGCACCAAGAAAGTAATTGTGAGAAGACCCCCTTCCGTCCCCCCTTCCCCACCTACCTACCCCCCCACCAAACAAAAAAATCCGAAGAAAACATATTAAATTTCCATATAAAATATAAACCTTTTACATTAAGTATTGTTATGAATTTACTCTATCCGTGGGTCCCAATAATTCATAACACTCAGTACAACAACGACTTGACTTTATTAAATCCACTTATTAAAAATCCACAATTATTTTACAATATTTCATTTATTATTCAGAACTTTATTGTACAACGTAAAAACTTAAACTAACTAAAGACTAAACGCGTCCGCCTTTATCTTCCGAGAATTGGTCAGTGAAGTTTTCGTGCGTCGTAACAGTTTTATATAATTTACTCATCAGCAAAGGCAAACTCATCCCTTAATGGTGTAAAATGTAGTACTAAAGAAGAAGCAGATGGCAGAATAATATTACATTTAAAGGATGCGGTGCAGCATGGGTCTCAGAACGTGGTAGTGCGAACAGTTGATACTGATGTACTAGTACTATGTATAGCTTTTTACGCACAATTTAAATCTCTTGGTCTTCAGAATTTATGGGTTCTTTTTGGTACAGGTGCAAAGAGACGATATTTAGCAGCACACCTTACGGCAGGTAAGCACTCTCACACCCAAATAACACACTTGGCCTAAAAATCATATTTTAGATGCTCTTGGCGACAAGGTTAGCGCTCTTCCTGGGTTTCATGCTTTTACAGGATATGACACGGTGTCTTTCTTTTCTTACAAAGGAAAAAAGTCTGCCTGGAAAACATGGAATTCGCAGAGCGATAAGGCAACCAAAGCTTTTCAAGCGATTTCAAGCCCATTACTGTCTTCCATTCCGGACGATGTCGTCAAAGTTCTTGCTAGCTTCACTGTTCAGATGTACAATCCACTTAGCACTGCAACCAACACTGACACCACAAGAAATAAATTATTTTGTTCTCAAAAAAAGCCAATTCATTTGATACCTCCGACTTCTGCAGCACTGTATCAACATATCCTAAGGGCTGCTTACGAAGCTGGTCAAGTCTGGGGTTGTTCTTCGATATGGATGATGTATCACCTAAGGGATGGGGCAGGGTTGAAAAGAATTCAAAGTGGACTCCTCTATGGCCTGTTCTTCCAAATGTATGGCAGACATGGCAAGAGCTAGCTAAATGCTCCTGTAAAACTGGATGTAGCAGTAGTCGGTGTAAATGCAAAAGAAGTGGTCTTCCATGTACACTGCAATGCAGTTCCTGCAAAGACATTGTACCAACAGTGTAATTCAAAAGTTGGTATTTTTAAATATGTATTTTTATATTTTTCCGAGCTTAGAACAAAAAGTTTTTGAGTAGACTTATTCTTTTTAATTTTTTATTTTAGTTTAGAAGATTCCGAAGACTAAGAAATGGTATCCGGCGCCATTTTGTAAAAAATCACGCCATTTTATTTATTTTTCTTAAAAACGCTGTACTTTTAATAAATTATAAAAGTTAAAATTCCTATTCTATTAATTTCAACCCCATTAGTCACATAAGAATTAAGTTAAGCTGCGCCATTTTGAAAAATTCCGCCATTTTGAATCCGCCTCCACTTCTGATAAGGTGCTGCGGGCCAAATCAACATACTATATGTAAGTAAACTTTCTGCCAAGCGGTTTTATTCTATCACGATTTGAAACGTTTTTTGGTCTACCGCTGCGACTAAAATGAAGAGAGTTAATACCACCTCACGTAAAGGAAATACGTTTTTTTGTTTTCCTGTTATTACCGATTCTGAACCGTCCTAGAACTCTGCAGCGCATGCGCAAATGAAATAATGTCTTCATATTTCCTTCTGCGCATACGCATCACAGTTCTAGGACGGTTCTGAATCGGTAATAACAGGAAAACGAAAAAAGCTGTTATTTTACGCGAATTTACTTTTGCGCACAGGAAATTTTACTCGTTTGCACATCGTCATAAAAAACGATTTTCGTATGACATATAGTATACCTAATCTGTGCTATGACATACGGCACCATATCAAAGCGACATGAGCGATTTTTTCGTGGACAGAAACTAAGAGCTCGAACTCACTGACGGCTGGTCGGATATATTGCATACATAGGTACTGCCAGATGAAGGACCAGTTTTGGCAGGATCTAACGATTTTTTACGTTTTACCAATTAGAAAATATTCTTTTCAGAAATGTTAAAATATCCGAGTTAACTAAAAAGCGAAGTTCCTATTCATGAGCTTATTAAATGTTCTAATATTAAATAAAGTAATGTTTCTTCAAAGCCATACCGAACGAAAATCACTCCATCAATTTGGCCCGTCTGGCCGTCACAGTGTGTTGCATCAGATATAAAAATAATAAACACATTATATCAATAAAGGACAAAAATAGTATTGTTCCTAAGAATTGTGTAGTGCGACCTACACAATTGTTTGT